TTTTATTTATATTTTAAATATTTAATAAATTAATATTTATTTTTTTTATATATTTAATATTATTATTTCCAAATTTTAAAAGATTATTTTATATTATATTTACTTTTTTTATTATTATAATAATATTTATAATTAATATAATAAATATGGTTATTATTATTACTATTATTATTTTTATTTATTATAAATTATTTTATTTTCTTTATTATTTTATAAATTTTAATAAATATTTAAAATTTATTTATTAAATCTTTAAAATATATTAATAATTTAAAAAAAGTATGTTATAATTAAGGTATAATTTGGTAAACTTGGTATATAATTACAATAAGTTATTATTCTCCTTTAAAATTAAAGCTTAACGCCTTTTAATATAATAATAATTTATTAAATAAAATTTAAAGTATTTTTATATTAATTTTCCTTTTATTTTACTTTTTTATTTTAATATTAAAAAAAGTAATAAAAATTTAATTATAATAATATTAGATTTTATTTTATTTTATATTAAAATATTATTTTATAATTAAATATATATTTATAAAATATTAAAATTAAAATATATTATAAAAAAATAAATTATTATTTTTCCCGATAAAATAATAGAAAAAATAATATAAAATTAGGTTTATTATATTTTAATTATATAATAAATATTTAAGAAAAAATGAAATTTATTTTTAAAAATATTATATACTTTTTTTATATAATTATTTTTATTATTTTATACTTTTTTAAAATAATTAATAATTATTAAAAAATATATTTTATTAAAGATTTATATTAAGGAAATATTATAGTAAATATTATTTTATTAATTATTAATTAATATAAAAGCTTATATTTATTAATTATTTAATTATATAAATAATGGAGTTATTTAAAAAGAGGAAATGTAATTTTTAATAAGTTAATTTCTTTTTTCTTATTTAGCGCTTTAAGGAATTGCTGGTATTATATATAGACCACCCGGTGGCGGTCCAGGAGGTCCAAGAACATTTCCCAGGACCGGCGGGCTAATTAATATTCTTTATATTAAGTTATTATTATATATTAAGTTATACCTTTATTTATATTTTTATTAAATTATATATATAAGATTATTAAAATAAATATTATTAATAATAACTTGGGGGGGCGTAACTATTCTTTAATAAATGGGAGGGGGCGGGGAGGTAAAAAAAGGGCCGGGGGTTTAATGTTAAAAAAATTAAATTATAAGTCTTTATATTTATATAAATAATAAAATATAGAAAATTAATAATAAATTATTAAAAATGAAAGGGAGTTATTTTATTATTTATAAAGTTAATAATATATATTATACATAAAAAAAAAGTTATTTAATTAAAATAGTAAATTAAATTAAGTTTTATTTTATATACGTTAATATTTAAAAGTTATAAATTATAAATTATTATTATAATATAATATATATTTATATAAATATTTATATATTTAAATAAATTAATTTTTAATTAATATTATATATTAATATTTTTTATATTAATATATTAAATTATTTTTACTTAATTATTTTTAATTTATTTAAATTTTATATTAATAATTTATATAATAATATAAAGTTAATAAGTATTTTAATATAATTAATATTATATTATTTTATATAAATATTTTATTATATTAATATAGTTTAAAGTGTTAATTATAAAAATTTTAATATATTTATAAAGTTTATTATTATAAATTTTTAAAATTGATTTTAATATTTATTTATTATTTCTTTAAAAATATAAATATATAATATATTTATATTAATAATTTTTAAATTTATTAACGTAAATAATATTTAAGTTACTTTTTATTTAAGGGTAATTATTTAAGGATTAATTAATTTTTATTTTATAATTATATAATTAAAATATTAAATAAAGGTTATTTATCCAAATATATAATTTATTAAAGTTTATAATTTATTTATATTTTCTATTTTAATTAAATTAATTATTATAATATAAACTTATATTTATATTAAACTTTTTAATTAAAATATTATAAAATATTTATAATATATAATAAATATTAATTTGTTTAATAATATTAATAATAAGTTAAAATTGTGATAAATAGTAAAAAATTTAAAAAAGTTAAATAATAAAGTAAATTAATAATTTATTATAAATTTCATATATATTTATAAGTAAAAAAAATATATTGATATTATGTATATTATTATAATAAAATCTTTTAAATTATTATAATAATAACTTTTTTAACTTTATTAATTTATATTATTAAATTTTTAATAATATTAATTAATATTAATAAATATGTATATATAATATAAAATAATAAATAAGTAAATTAAATAATAATAAGGGTAAAATTAATATATTAATAATATTTAAAAAGGGAAAAATTTATTTAAAGTTAATTAATAATATAATATCTTTTTATATAATAATAATAAGTATATTATTCTTTTTTTAATATTAGCGATAAAGCACTTTATCTTTAATAAAGTGTTTACGCGCCGATATTATATAATTACTAATTAATATAAAATTAAAAGATTAATTTTTAAAAAAGGAAATAAAGTTTATTTATTATAACGGAATATTAAAATTAAAAAATTAAATAATAAATTAAATTATAAAAAACTTAAACCTTTTAAAATTAAAAAAGTTATTTTAAAAATTAATTATAAATTATTATTATTAACAAAAATAAAATTATATTTAATATTTTATATTTTTTTATTAAAAAAAGTACTTAAAAATATATTAATATAAATTATTTTAAACATTAAAATTAATTAAAAATATAAAATTAAAAAAGTATTAAATTTTAAGTAATTTAAGAATTAGATCAAATACTTAATTAAATAAAAAAATTATTTATTAAAGGAAAATATATAAGAATTAATTAAATATTTTAAAAATATTTAAAAGTTTATAAAGGTATTTTATTAAGAAAGTCTTAATTACTTATAAATAGCGACGGATTTATCTTTAAATTAAAACTATTTTAAAAAATAACGGCTTTACCGGGGTTACTTCCGGAAAAATTAAAAGGCACGGATAAATTAGCTTAATTAAAAATATTTTAACTTTTACCTTTTTTTTTCCTTTTCTTCCTTTAAACGATCCAATTCCTCCTTATGTTAAAGAATACAAAAAGCTTTACTTTTAGCCTTTTCTTTTTTAATACGAATTTCTTTTAAATAAGAAATAAGTTATAATAAATCTTTTTAATATTAAAATATTTTATCTTTAATTTTATAACGTTTATTTTTAAAAAACTTAATCTTTTTTTTTAATTTATTAAAAAAGTTTATTTTTAAAATATTATAATTAAAATATTAACTTTTTTAAATATAAATATTATAAAATAATAAATTAAAAATAAAAATATAAAAAAACTTTTTAAAATATTTATAATTAAAATACGAAATAAAGGTAATATTAATTAATTTAATATAAAAAATATGAAATTCTTTATTTTCTTATTAATTAATATAGTTTTTATATTTTATAATAAATTTTAATATATAATTTAACATTTTAATAAATTAGTTTAAAAAAAGTATAAAAAGAATAAAAGAATAATATAAAGGACGTATTTATTAATAAATTTTTAAAAGTAAAAAACTTAGGAAAAAAAGAATAATATTACGAATTAATAGCATAAAAACACAATTTAACATTTTAATTATTAACTTATAAATTTTATTAAAAAATAAAAAAAATAATATTATAAATTAACAATTTAATAAATTATATTAAATATAAAAATAAAATTTTTATACGAAATTTAAAAACAGTAAAACTTTAATAAAAAACTAATAAAAAATAATAATTTTAATAAAATTATAATAAAATAATAAATAAATAAAAAAATTAATAAATTTATTTATATTTTAATTATTAATTTAAATTTTATATTTAATTTATATAAAAAAAACTTTAAGCTTTATTAATAAATACTTTAATATTTATTTTAATATTTAATTTATATTATTATTATTTATTTAAAAATTAAAATTTATTAATATTATATTTTAATAAATTTAAATGTAAATTTATTATATAATTATATTTTTTTAAAAAAAATTTTAATTATAAAAAAATAATTAATAATTATAAAATTATTAATTATTAAAAATTATAATAATATATTTTATTTTATTATTATATTAAAATTATTTAAAATATTATAATAATAAAATAAAAATAAATAAATTAAAAAATATTTTTAAAAATGCTTTTTAATTTTAAATAATTATAAGCGAATTTATTAAAGTTTATTAAATGCATGAAAAAATATTATAAAATTAATTATAAGCCAGATTTTAATGGGAATAAATTAATCAAGTACCTTTTAACACATAACTTATGCTTAAGATTATCCCCCATAAGTTTCCATAAGCAAAGCAAAACTTATGCACCAAAACATCCCCTTAGGTACCTAACTTACCAGGTAACAAGTGTACAATACCTAAGTACCTAAGCTGTTCCTTCTTACTTACAAAACTTACAGCTCTCATTTCAATTCTTCCACTTAATACTAACGCTGAGCCACTAGAAAATTTATTACAAAAAACCTCACAGAAAGAATTGAGACTTTAATAGGTTGCATTAAACGAGGGTTCACCCCTGGGTTTTTCCATTACGGCAGTAACAGCTAAGATTTCAATTTGTTAAAGCTTGGTACTTGATACCCCACTATTAGACCCACCTTTAACAAGAGATACTCTTACCTGTGATCTAATTTCTATTTGATGGTTTCTTTTCGACCTTCACTACCATTCACACACACAACTTTTTCAACACCGCTTCAGCCTTGAGCACATTTAATTATTGTCTCTTGTTTCTGGCTGCCTCCGTACCCAATTTTTACCTTGTAAATCCACATATTGGACAATTCAGCAAGCTCGGTTAACTTTGTCTTGTTATTCCGGTTTCACTTTTGCACCAGGCGCCGCCTGTAATTCGTCGCGTCGCAGTCGCGTAGAGCACTTATCGCGATATCTCCCCAACATGGCTCCGCCTCGTCCGCGGGCCAGTGCTGTCGATACGGACGCATCAATGCTAGATGTGCAAGAGCCTGTATCTAACCTAGCTGACGCAATGGTAAGTTTTAATCCTTTTCAATTTTTATAACATTCTAGCTGTTCCGTTACGCTACTATAAATATATCATCCACCATTAGCACCAATACTAACCAACCTGTAGGATGTTGATGAAACCCCAGATCAGACTGACACAGATACCAATCCCAACACTACAGCAAGTAGTGTTGCCGGTGATCAGATTGCCGATGGGCGCAAAAAGCGTTCTGAAGCCAACCAGCTTCGAAGAAGTATCTTCGGCAAGAAACATGACTTGCTAGGAGAATCCAAGGTATGAAATAATCTGAGCATGTCAATTAAGATGATTTTTTAAGCTTGATTGGGTTACTAATTAACAATAATACAATAGGAGGATGACAGCATCAGAAGATTTCGCTACTTATTAGGATTGACCGACCTTTTCCGACATTTCATCGAGACGAACCCTAACCCCAAAATTCGCGAGATTATTCATGAGATCGATCGTCAGAATGAGCAGGCGGAGAAAGCAAAGAAGAAGGGCGTTCGTCAAGGTGGGGCAGAGACAGGCCGAGCTCGCCGTACAGAAGCCGAAGAAGATGAAGAGTTACTGAAGGATGAGAGACAAGGCGGATCAGCAGAAACTGTCTTTCGCGAATCGCCGTCTTTTATCAATGGCACGATGAGAGATTACCAAATTGCTGGGTTGAATTGGCTCATTTCCCTGCACGAAAATGGAATCTCAGGTATCCTTGCAGACGAGATGGGTTTAGGCAAAACCCTCCAAACCATTTCCTTTTTGGGTTACCTTCGTCATATCATGGATACGAAAGGCCCTCATTTGGTCATCGTGCCCAAGTCTACTCTAGACAATTGGAAGCGGGAGTTTGCCAAGTGGACACCCGAAGTTAATGTTCTGGTTTTACAAGGCGCTAAAGAGGAACGACACAACCTGATTAACGAGCGTTTGATCGACGAGAAGTTTGATGTGTGCATCACGAGTTACGAGATGATCCTTCGTGAGAAGACGCATTTGAAGAAATTCGCCTGGGAATATATTATCATCGACGAAGCCCACCGTATCAAGAACGAAGAGTCGTCCCTATCGCAAGTAATTCGCTTATTCAACTCGCGAAACCGACTTCTTATTACTGGAACACCACTCCAGAATAACCTGCACGAGCTCTGGGCACTCTTGAACTTCTTGTTACCTGATGTATTTGGTGATAGCGAGGCCTTCGACCAGTGGTTCTCGGGACAAGATGCAGATTCAGAAGTGGTTGTTGAGCAGCTGCACAAGGTCCTACGACCTTTCTTGCTCCGTCGAGTTAAGGCGGATGTGGAGAAGAGCTTGTTACCCAAGAAGGAGATCAACCTCTACCTTGGTATGTCAGAAATGCAGGTGAAATGGTACCAGAAGATCCTAGAGAAGGATATTGACGCTGTCAATGGTGCCGGCGGTAAGCGGGAATCTAAAACTCGCCTGCTCAACATTGTCATGCAATTGAGGAAGTGTTGCAACCATCCTTACCTTTTTGAGGGAGCTGAACCTGGACCTCCTTACACGACCGATGAGCATCTGGTCTACAATTCAGGCAAAATGGCCTTACTCGATAAGCTTTTGCGAAGACTACAGAAACAGGGCAGCCGCGTCCTCATATTCTCACAGATGAGCCGTCTTTTGGATATTCTCGAGGACTACTGTGTATTCCGCGAGTATAAGTACTGTCGAATCGATGGAAGCACAGCTCACGAAGATCGCATAGCGGCAATTGATGAATACAATAAGCCGGATTCAGAGAAATTCATTTTCCTCCTCACAACTCGAGCTGGTGGTCTCGGAATTAATCTAACCAGTGCTGATATTGTTATCCTCTACGATAGCGACTGGAACCCGCAGGCTGATCTGCAAGCTATGGACCGCGCTCACAGAATTGGTCAAACGAAGCAAGTAGTTGTTTACAGGTTTGTCACGGAGAATGCAATCGAAGAGAAGGTACTTGAGCGGGCGGCACAGAAGCTTCGCCTTGACCAATTGGTTATTCAGCAAGGACGTGCTCATCCAGGAGCTAAAGGTCCAGCAGCTAAAGATGAGCTCCTTGACATGATCCAGCACGGTGCGGAGAAAGTCTTCCAACAAAAGGGAGCCACCGGAATGGCAGCTAAGGGAGCAGATCTCAACGACGAAGATATCGATGAGATCTTGGCGAAGGGTGAGAGTCGTACCAAGGAGCTCAACGCCAAGTATGAGAAACTTGGCATTGACGATCTACAAAAGTTCTCTTCAGAATCTGCTTATGAGTGGAATGGCGAAGTGTTCGGGAAAAAGAAGGATATTGGCGTGAATTGGATTAATCCCGCAAAGCGGGAACGCAAGGAGCAGTCCTACTCCGTCGACAAGTTCTACCGACAGGCCATATATGGTACTAGCAAGGCAGAAGCTAAACCTAAGGCTCCTCGAGCACCGAAGCAGGTCGCAGTTCACGATTATCAGTTCTATCCCCCTCGACTCCGTGACCTTCAGGATCGAGAGACCGCCTTTTATCGCAAGGAGATTGGATATAAGGTACCTTTGCCCGACGGAGATGACGACAATTTGTCGGAACGTGAAGCGGAGCGTGCCCTTGATCAGCAGGAGATTGACAATGCTACTCCCCTTACGGAAGAGGAGCAAGAAGAGAAACAGAAACTGTCCGCTCAAGGCTTCGGGGACTGGAACAAGCGTGACTTCCAGCAGTTTATCAACGGCTCTGGTCGCTACGGGCGTCATGATTATGACCGAATTGCGGAAGAAGTCGACAGCAAGACCGCCGCAGAGGTTAAAGCCTATGCTAAGGTTTTCTGGCAGCGATATACCGAGATCGCCGATTATAACAAGTACTTGCAAGTAATTGAAACTGGAGAAGAACGCATGCGTAAGACGGAGCATCAGCGCAAAATGCTCAGGAAGAAGATGCAACAATATCGAGTGCCACTGCAGCAGATGAAGATCAACTATTCGGTGTCTACAACAAACAAGAAGGTCTATACTGAGGAAGAGGATAGATTCCTCCTGGTCATGTTAGACCGACATGGCGTCGATTCTGAGAGTATCTACGAGCGAATTCGTGACGAGATTCGAGAGAGTTCTCTATTCCGATTCGATTGGTTCTTCCTTAGTAGGACACCTATCGAAATCAGCCGTCGCTGCACTACACTGCTTACTACGATTGTGAAGGAGTTTGAAGATACGTATCCGAGCAAGGCGAACGGAAGCAACGGCAAAGGGAAGAGAGAGCTAGATGACGAAGAGAACGACGAGGATAGCATCCTCGGAATGGCCCCCGCAAAGAAGAAGTCAAAGACCAGTGTCAAGGTATGCTATTAGTCAAGTATCTAACCAACTTCGAACCGAATACTAATTAATACATAAACAGAACAAGGCCCTTGACAACGTCAAAGGTGGCAGTAGCAAGACTACTTCTGCCACGCCTTCCTCTCGCGCCTCTAGTGTCGCTTCTACTACCTCGGCGCCCGTGGCCAAGTCGAAAGCCAAGGGAAAGAAGAAATAAATAGTTGTCGTTTACTAATAAGGGTGACAGACAACCCGATTTTTGGCTCGTGCCAAGGTTTTTTCTTTTTTCTTCGATCTGAGTTGGCACCAGTTTCGTCTCACAATGGCATTAAACGGACAATGGAATGGCAAGGGGAGTAAGTGCACAGGCGTTTAATTGGTTGTTTCGCCGCTGGACGATACAGATACAGTCCACGAAATCAAGTTGTCTCGACCGATAGTCTAGATGGATGTTGTCCAATCCTCCATACGACCTGGCGAATATGAGAAGCAAAGGGGAATGAACGTCTATGGACCCGACAACGCCAGTTAGAAACAGACGAAAAGCATAGCATATTGCAACTACTATGTAGAAAATAAGCTACGAGATTTCTATGAACGTGTCTTTCGAGAAGTCTGCCGCGTGTACTTACGATAGTCCTTATGTAACAATATTGCGAAATTCTTGACCGTCATGATGATATTTGTATTATAGTTTCCCACAAAATGGGACGGGAAAAAAGGGTTTGCGTCTCAATAATCAGGTATATTGATTAGAAGCTTCATGCTACTCTCTACCTCCTTATACCTAACCCGGAGCTCTCATTTATCTCTTTTTTTCTTCTTGTCTTTCCTGCCTAAGCGACGAACAAATAACTGTCGGACAAAAACCCTCAAACGCCGAAGCCTTCTTCCCGGATGGATGGATAGGTAAGATGCAAAGTTCTAGCTAAGAGAACGCAAAAAAAATGATTAAAAAAATGGAGGACGCGACGCCGGATATCATCTTCCATTTCTTTCCTCCATTTCCCCCCGCTTTCTATCTCGTAGAGACGACCAACAGGCGTGCGTATACGTACGTCATGATGGAATCGCGGGTGACTTCGGGGGAGTGATTTGGGGAAGGGGGAGGCGGTGCTAGAAAAGCTAGCTATACGCTTTAAATGCGCATATAACTTATCATAGCCTGTTCTCGCGTTCGCGCTCCCGCTCGACCTCGTACTTGAAGTCGAAGTATCCCTTGTCGAAGTGGTGTATGCGCACGTAACCGTCTTCTCCGCCGCTGGCGTAGCCCTTGCCTGTGGGATCCGCTGCTACGGTGTTCTGCTGCGGTGTTAGACGACCGAACTGTAGATGATTCTTTTCGCAAGAATATATATATTTATATATAGGTCTAGGGAGGGGGGATATGATAAAGGAAAAAAAGAAAACATACCAAGGGTCCGAAATGGCCTCTCACACGACCAATCTCGTCTTCGAAGATTTTGTGATAGAAACGTGCCTCGAATTTTCCTTGGCGAGCCGCGGTCGTAGTGACATCCATGGCGGCCTGACCACCGCCGAGAATAACGTAGTCCTTCTTAGGGGTGATGCATGCGCTGTTGAGCGGCGTGTCGGTCACGTAGGTCTTCAGGGGCTCGAGGTCGCGGGCAGCCATTAGCCGGGCGGTCTTGTCCTTGGAGGCTGTGATGAAGTAGGTGCGGTCCGGCGACCACTGGAGGTCTGTCACTTGCATGTTGAGCTCGTGGACGGGGACGTTATCTAGCAGCTCTCCGGTCTATCAAAGTGGGTATTTGTTAGCTCTTCGTTATCCTCCGTCTCCTTAATAATAATAATAATGATGATGATGATGGCTTACTTTAGCGTCGTACTGGGATACGGAGCCATCCTCGTGTCCAGCGATGATGTACTTGTTCATGTAACTCCAGCCGGCAACCGTGGCCTTGCTCTCGTCACACACGATGGTCAGGGCGCGCTCGTCGCTCTGCTCGGCGTCGACGTCCAGCACGACGTCCAGGACCACGATGGTTCCGAGGTGACCCATGCGCTTCTCGGTGACGCCCAGCAGCTGGCGGCCGTCGTCGCTAAACTCCACGCGCTTGACGGCGGTGGGGAAATCCCAGGTCTTGAGGCAGCGACCGGTCTTGATCTCCCACAGGCGGATGGTGTTGTCGGCGCTGCCGCTCGCGATGAAGGTCGAGGTCGGGTCTACGTCGACGGTCCAGATGGCACCCTGGTGGCCCTTGTAGGTGCCCAGCCGTTCGCCGTTATGCGAGTACCACACGCAGATCTGCTGGTCCTTGGATACGGAGAATAGAAGGTCGCCATCGGGGTTGTATCTGGAAGAGGGAAGCGATTCAGCCAGTTAGTGTGATGAACTTGTCGCGGGGGACCAAGGTATTGAAGGTATTATTATTGTCGCATCGATTCTGGGAGGAGGGGAACAAACCTGATTTGGGTCAAGGCCCGTTCCTGCGAAACTGTTAGAGGCTACTATCTTCTATATATGGGGGAATGTGTTCTCTTACGTGGCCCGACAATAGAATAGGTCTCATGTTGGCGATGTTCTGATCTTGTATCTCGTCACCAATCTTGGGGGAAGTTGGTTGTATGGAGTTTTTGAATGATTTGTGCGTGGGGCAAGATTTCGCGGATTTTCTGATAACCTATCAGCATCTGGGCCCCACCAACGTTACTCATAGTCACGTGAAAGGTTATAGGGGATGCTTACGATTTATGGCAGCCAATCACATTTCATCGGTGGCAACCTTATCCTAGACCTTATCCTAGTTGGTAGGTGCCTAGGTAGGTACTTGATTAAGTTTATCTGGGCATGACACATGTAGGTACCTATCTAATTTTAGGATGTACATTTTTCTACCAAGCACTTTCCAAATGAGCAAAATTGTCAAGTTCAGTGTGTGGATTATTACTTCCGTTTGAGAAACAGAGCTAGACTCCGCGATCAGGAAAGACCTTTGAGTCATCTCGATCTCGAACCAGAAACAAAGATTTTAAAGTTTAGAAGCTCGGTAGAGAGGAAAACGGCGCTTCTTCGCTAAACAAGAAAAAAAAGACAATGTCTAATAACTACCAAACATAGTGGAATTTATTAGAAGATGAAAACTTTATTCAGCAACTCCTATCTCGCTTCGAATATACCTATCATATTATATATTCTTTAGATGATCTTTTTATTTGACTAGGTTTTATTATGGTTTAGTTGTCTAGCTATATTTATAGCTATATTTATTCAATTCCTCGATGACTGTTACTCACAGCCTTTTGGATTTTCAGGATTACCTACTATTGATACAGCCATTGCAGCAACTGTATTGTACGATACATTACAGTACCTAGGTCCTAAATAGACGGCAAACTCTATCGTATAGCGTTGTTGCCAACACCTTTGACTAGTCAAAACTTGGAACTACCTACATAATCCTCTGTGGGATCGTTGGATAAGATACGGGTATCGGCGGCACACAGCTTTGGAACTAGCAGCTATGACTCTAGCCGTTGCAAGAAGCCGTAATCTACATCCTTTCGCAATCCCACTGCGAGTTATACCGCACAAACATTCTAAAGGGTCTAAAGGATCTACACTTCGGCCGGTCACACGCGTGACCACTAGATTCGTCGCAACCTGGCCGACTAATTCTCCGCTTTGCGGGTCCCGAAAAGCCAATCGTTCATATTTCGCTCCCCGGATTTCAACTTACACTCGACAACGTGCCCAACTCACAACGTCTGTAAGAGCCCGTCGAGGGTCGTCTCAGCTGGGTTGCACGAAAGTACGCCACTTACCTAATTACACCTCAGTAGGAACTGCGCGACGGCATTGGCCGCGTGCCTCTATTAGACATTTTTCTACAAGCTACCCCACCATGACTGCCATTAGGTTAGATGGCACAGCCATCGCAAAGAAGATCCGCGAAAGGCTGGCCTCTGAGATAGCCGAGAAGCAAAAGTCTAATCCCAAGTACCAGCCCTATCTTTCGATTATCCAAGGTTTGTACTTACTTGCCATACCCATACTATACCTGCACCATACCTACACTACACCTACACCATACCTGCATCATACTCCTAAACAAGCTCGCTTGTAATAAGTACTAACCTCTTTGCTTCGTAGTCGGTGATCGATCTGATTCCTGTATGTCCTTAATCCGGGTCTTCTGACTCAACTACTGTAAGCAAGCTGTTCCTCAGCTAATCTTCTCGCCAGCAACTTATGTTCGCATGAAGCTTAAGGCCGCTCACGAGGTAGGACTTCTCAACTTAGCATAATGTCCCACGTAAAATACCCCTGATCTAACCATTGTGACTCATAAAAGGCCAATATTACCTGCGAACGTCTGCACTTCCCTGAGGATATTTCCGAGGCCGAGCTCTTGGCACAGTTACACGTCCTGAATAATAACCCTGCAGTGTCTGGAATCCTGGTTCAGCTGCCTCTGCCTAAGCATATCGATGAGTACGCTATCACATCTGCCGTTGCGGCTGAAAAAGATGTCGATGGTTTCGGTACCACCAACATTGGTGAGCTTGCCAAGAAAGGAGGTCACCCTTTCTTCATCCCCTGCACTCCCAAGGGGGTTATGGTTCTCTTGGAGGAAGCAGGTGTGAACTTGAAAGGCAAGGATGCTGTGGTTCTTGGCCGAAGCGATATTGTCGGTAGTCCCGTCAGCTACTTGTTGAAGAACGCCGACGCAACCGTTACTGTCTGCCATTCTAAGACCGAGGGTATAGAAGAGAAGTTAAAGAAGGCTGATATAGTTGTTGCCGCTATTGGCCAACCTGCCTTTGTAAAAGGAGAATGGCTCAAGAAAGGTGCCGTTGTCATCGACGTGGGAACCAACTACATCCCCGATGCATCGAAGAAATCCGGCCAACGACTAGTGGGTGATGTAGAGTTTGAGTCGGCTTCTCAGGTTGCTTCTTACATCACACCAGTTCCGGGTGGTGTCGGGCCCATGACAGTTGCCATGCTGTTGCAAAATGTTGTTAACGCAACCACAATGTATTTTGAGCGACAGAAGCAAAGACGTATCGTACCACTTCCTCTCAACTTACGTACCCCGGTCCCTTCGGATATCGAGGTTTCGAGATCACAGCCACCGAAGCCCATTACGCGGGTCGCAGAAGAGGTCGGTATTGCGCATCACGAGTTGGAGCCATATGGCGCATACAAAGCCAAGGTCGACCTCACCCTTTTGAAGCGTCTGGAGCACCGTCGGAACGGCCGATATGTCGTAGTCACAGGCATTACTCCCACACCGTTAGGCGAAGGGAAATCCACCACAACCATGGGCTTAGCTCAGGCGTTAGGGGCACATCTAGGTCGAATTACCTTTGCCAACGTCCGGCAGCCCAGCCAAGGTCCTACTTTTGGTATCAAGGGAGGTGCAGCTGGTGGTGGTTACAGTCAAGTTATACCCATGGACGAATTCAATTTGCACTTGACTGGTGACATACATGCTATCACCGCAGCGAACAATCTTCTTGCTGCTGCGATTGAGACTCGTATGTTCCACGAGAACACGCAAAAGGATGGCCCCCTTTACCGAAGATTGGTACCGACAAAGAACGGAAAGAGGACCTTTGCACCTGTCATGCTCCGCCGACTCAAGAAATTGGGAATTGACAAGACCGATCCTAACGACCTTACTGAAGATGAGATCCGCCGGTTTGCTAGGTTAGATATTGACCCAGAAACTATCACTTGGAGACGCGTGCTAGATGTTAATGACCGCCACTTGCGAGGCGTCACTGTTGGCATAGCCCCAACCGAAAAGGGACAGAGTCGGGATACCGGATTCGATATATCTGTTGCCAGCGAGTGTATGGCTATTCTAGCCATGAGCACCAGTCTTGCCGATATGCGGGAAAGGCTAGGCCGAATGGTCGTCGCTACCTCGAGATCAGGAGACCCAGTCACTTGCGATGACATAGGAGCCGGAGGGGCATTGACAGCTCTCATGAAGGACGCTATCAAGCCGAACTTGATGCAAACATTAGAAGGTACACCTGTGTTTGTGCATGCGGGTCCTTTTGCCAACATCAGTATTGGAAACAGCTCCATCCTTGCCGACAAGATGGCTCTCAAGCTAGCAGGTACGGAGCCCGATGAAGACTACAGTGCCAAGGCTGGCTTCGCCGTTACTGAAGCTGGTTTCGACTTCACCATGGGAGGCGAACGATTCTTCAACATCAAATGCCGTACTTCAGGCTTAGTTCCCGATGTGGTCGTTATTGTCGCTACGGTTCGCGCTTTGAAGGTGCATGGTGGCGGCCCACCTATCGCTCCTGGTGCGCCGTTAGACCCCGTGTACAAGCAGGAGAATGTCGAGATCCTCCGAAACGGCTGCGTGAACCTCAAGAAGCATATTCAAAACGCCAAGGCCTATGGCTGTCCTGTCGTAGTCGCCATCAATAAGTTTGCTACCGATACAGATGCTGAGATTGCTGCTCTGCGAGAAGAAGCCATTGCTGCTGGCGCTGAAGACGCTATCTTGGCTAATCATTGGGCCGAAGGTGGTAAGGGCGCTGTCGACCTTGCTAAGGGGGTAATCGCTGCTGCTGAGAAGCCAAAGGACTTCAAGTTACTGTATGACGTGACTGAGGGCACCATTGAACAACGTATGGAGGCCATCTGCCAGAAAATGTATGGTGCGTCCGCTGTCGAGTTTAGCGAGCTTGCCCAAAAGAAGATCGACACATACACAAAACAGGGCTTTGGGAACCTCCCGATCTGTATCGCTAAGACGCAGTATTCGCTCTCTCACGACCCCGATCTTAAAGGTGCACCAACCGGTTTTACTGTTCCGATTAGGGATGTGAGAATGGCCGCAGGTGCAGGATACTTGTAAGTTCATTAACATATTCTCCTATGTATAATATAATAAGCTGACGTTGAATAAGGTATGCGCTTGCCGCTGACATCCAGACAATTCCCGGCTTGCCCACTGCCCCGGGATACCTCAATGTCGACGTTGACACCGAAACGGGCGAGATCGACGGTCTCTTCTAAGTGCCGGCTTACTATGAGCGTATGTCTATACAAATTCGTCAAATCAACAAAAACTGGCGTAGATGCGGTACGTATAGAATTCAACTAGCTAGACCGGGCACTCTATGCATGCATATAAAGTGGCTTCAACGAATTCAACCACGTCGGAGCATTGGTTCATGGGGGTTATACTAGAAACGGCGACAACAGGGCCGGCGTTTTATTACACGTGATACCTTCAACAGTAGTGTATATTGCAGGGCGATCTACTGCGCCTATACACGCCCTAGGTATATAGGTAGAGAGATATTTAAGTAAATTAAAGAAATAAATGCGATGAACTAAGATACTTACGATACCATAGAACACATGAACTTTGGAATTCGTAATATCGTATCTGACAGACATTAGTAGGTACTAATTAATTACCTTGTATTACGGCCAAATAACTTCCTAAACACGCTTCAGGCGAACGAATATAAAGACGCCTAGGCGTATAATAATAAAAATTATTTTATTTTACAGCTACCTTCAACTCCGACTGACTTTGACTTGACTACCTTCCATCCTAGCGACTTAGCATCATTGTGCCTCCTACCTATTCTATTCAACTCTCACTCTCTCTCACTCTCACTCTCTCTCTTTCTTTATCTTCATATTCGAATTCCACTCTTTCTCCTCCTCGCCTCCAAGTATCTCCTACCCATCTTATGCCGCTGCGGTAGAACCGTGGACTAGACACATTAGGTACCTGATAGGTAGGTCGGTAAGATACTGGGCGCGCGTCTGTAGACTGACAGACAGACAGACAAACGCACAGACAGAGGGAGGGAGGATTTCCCTCTATGCATAGCGCTCATACGCTTGCTACCTAGCTCATCTGTTCCGCTTTTACAAGTTGGCGATTATGATTGGTATTAATTGGTACCTAAGGTTAGGTACCTACCTTAGGTAACCCTAGAAGTTATATCCGGCGCCGTCCCGTACCCCCCCGTCCGTTGATGAATGCTTCGCTTGCTTCCAGAAAGCAGAATGAAAAAAAGAAGATGATGGATGATTTTAACGACGAAGGTTCGTAACCCATGAATCATTTTTGAAAACTGCTATCTACCTGATCCGCATTTTTGTCTTCGCTGCCTGTTATCCTTAACAATGCCGCCGAGGGGTATAGGCCAGAGTATACCCAAAAAAAGAGAAGTCCATTTTTGATTAGATAAAAGGCCAGGTACCTGTTCTGGAAGAAGTAGGTAGTATTATAGGGGCAGGGAGATAGGGGAAATCCAAGGACAGACGTCTTAATAGGCATCTATTCATCTCCATCCCACAGCCACCGACACGAGTAATTAGTACAAAACTGATAGCAATCAACCCTAATTTTTCCACTTTGCATATCAGGTCGAGGCTGATGCGAGCGCAGGTTTCTTAGCATCTGGCTGTTCTGAACTCGCGTTTCCAGGCCCTTCGTCCAAATTCCTCTTTTGACCGGCAATTTGGTCAACTACACCTGCACTGGGTGGTGCAGGACTGCATATATCGGGTACTGGCGCAGGTGCGGATATAGGTGTTGGCGCAGGTGGTGCAGACGCGGGTGCGGGTGCAGGCGTAGCGACCTTGGTAGGTAGCTCTGGTTGTCCAGTGGCCCCATTGCTACTGACAGATCTATCCTCCCGCATTCCCTTCTGCCCGATTTGATCAACGACACCTGCACTGGGTGGTGCTGGAGTGGACATGTTAGGTGTGGGGGGTTTAACCGGCTCCGGTCTATCCGTAGCTCCTTGGCTGTGATTGAACGAATCATCGTGTGGTCGCTTCTGCCCTGCTATTTGGTCGACGACACCTGCGCTAGGCGGCGCCGGACTTGAAACATTATGCATTGGCGCTGCTGGTGCACTCGGACTCGGTAAACTTGTTGTAGTTATTGACTCCTTCCGTATAATAGAAGGCCGAGAAATAGAATTTACCCCTGGACGCGAGATACCCATTGGAGTCGGACGTTGGATTGAGACACCGGGTCGAGGAACTGATGATGCTGACCTTGCATTAGTTGCCGAACCGGTTTGTGAATTCACACTTGGTGTTGTTGCTTGACCAGTTTGACTTGTTCCGGTTGTAGGAGTAGGGGGTTGGGTTGGAGCCGGTGATGCGGATGGAGCTTGTCGTGGAGTCTGTTGTGGAAGTTGAGTTGTGCTCGAAGGTGGAGGCTGTACCTGGAGGTTATGCGCCCTGCGTGCGTCCGCAATTATTTGCGTAACAGACTTGACCATTAATCTGTCTGCCTCTTCCCAGCCTGGAATCGGTCCAGTATTCGGTAAACCTTGGGCTCGGTTAATAGCTAAGTCCACGATAGCTTCCGCCTGTTCTGTCTTCTTCTTAAGAGCGACAACCATGGTGCCCCTGAAGTTCCTGATTCTACGTTGTATCTCAGCTTCAAGCGTAGTCGCGGGTGCTGGGCTTGGCGTGGGTGCGCTCGGAGTTGGCGTTGACTTTGTAGCGTTCGGCAACGCCGAGGCTGGAGCTGGAGAAGCAGATGTCGCCTGCTGTGGCTGCGACGGCTGCTGCTGCTGCTGCTGCTGCTGCTGCTGCTGTCGCTTCGCTTGCATTTCGGTAATCATATTGTGCACCGCATTATACAGCGTCTTTTCGACAGATTCAAACCCATGAGGTACACTTGTTTGGACCGGCAATCCTCGCGCACGATTTATGGACGAATCAATGATTTGAGTAGCATGAGGTGTCTGCTTCGAAATCACATTCAACATGTTTGCCCTAAACTGAGCAATGGCTCTCTCGATTTCTGGTGATAGTGGTGACCGAACAGTGCTCTCAGGTGTACTTGATACCTGTTGCGGTTGTTGATGCTGCGATGAGGGCTGCGATACTGGTTGTTGCACTGTAGCTGCAGGTGGGAGCGCCTGAGAGTTTTGCACTGCAGGTGCCTCTGATTTGATGAGAATATTAGTTTGGGGGGCTGGTTTCGCGTAAGGTGAGCTGTAAGTACTTTGTTGGGCGTTATTGGCTTGTCTGGCGAGATACCCGGGAGGTAATTGCGCAGGCGCGGGAGTCTGCGCCGAGTAAACTGGTTGGACGATTGGTTGAGAAGGTTGTGCTGAAAGGGGCTGAGGTTGGTTTGTAGAAGGGTGGTATCCTGTTGGCATGTGCTTCGTATCATTGGTATAAGGTGACACGTTATGACCGTAGTTGTAGCTGCCCGCAGGTAGGTAGGAACCGTTTTGGTAATACTGCGTTGATAAATGCGAGTGAAGATGAGCTGACCCAAGCTGTCGATCTGGAGAGCTTGCTTTGCGCTTCTTTCCAGCATCAAGCTCAACGCCGGGAACACGGGACCACAGTCCAGTTCCTTCAGCCTTCTTAAAAGCTTCGTTTCCGATCAAGTTATGCCGGACACTACTTTCCCATCCCTTCGTTTCAGCAGAGAAGTAGAACCACGGATATTTTGACATAATCCTCTTGTAGATTTGTTTCAAGGTTAGACCGTCAGGAGGTCCATTTGTGAGAGCCTCATCAATCAGGACACCATAATTCTTAGTAGGCTTCTGTAATTGCTCTTCAGTGAAGTCCTCCTTTCGAAGCTCCAAAGGTGGCGACTTCGGTCGGACCTTCTTCTCCTTCTTTTCCCTCGTCCTTCTCTCTACATCAGAGCCTTCTTCGCCTTCTTCCTTTGGCCTTCGTTTGTTGTACTTCCTCTTCTCTTGCTTCTCTCCATCTTCGGGCATAGGGTTCTTCCTAGGTCGACCTACTGGCCGTTTGATCTTCTCATTTTGTATTTGTGGGTCTTGAGGAATGGTCTTCTTCGAAGTTTCTTGCATCTGTTTCTTAAGCAGTCGTCGTTCCCTCTTTGACATTATCCCATCCTTGGGCGGCCGTCCTGGACCACGCCGCTTCGGCATTTCAGGATTCATAAGCTGGGACTGGGACATATCCTGAACCCCAGAGGAGTTGAGCATGGAAATATTCGACTCATCTATTTCGTCCGATTGTAGTTCGGTCATTTCTTGATCGTCACCTTCCTCGCCTTCAACGTCGCCTTCGTTTTCACCTTCACCTTCACCTTCACCTTCACCTTCACCTTCACCTTCACCATCGCCATCGCCATCGCCATCGCCATCGTCTTCTCCTTCCCCACCACCATCAGACCCGAGCGCAGGCGTCGGTACATTCTCGATCTCCGATAACTCTTCGCTCGTATCCCGGAAGTTCTCATGATCTGAATGCTCAAAGTCGAAGCTCATCTCTTTACCCCCAACCGACATGCGTTTACTCGATACCTCCTCCTCGTGATACTCCTCGCCACCAGTCTTACCTAGTTGAACACCGTTAACGATGAAGGTAAATTCGACATCTTTGATTTGAAGTCGGTCTCCGCTTCTAAGGGTAACTGGATCGTCGAGACCGTAATGTGTGTCATCACAGAAAAAGCCGTTCTTGTGTAGGGCAATCGCTTCAAATACGCCTCTCTTTTCATTAAATTCAATCTTAAGGTGCTGTCTCGATATACCGCGAGTCTTGCTTGCAATATCCGGCCCAGGAGAATGAATACCCACGAAGGGGATGTGAGTGGGTGACGGTTGTAAGGTGCCTAGATCTACGGCAGCGGCTCCGGGGGTATGGGAAACATATTGCCTATTGGATTTGACATGGTCACTTTGAGCGTCGTCGTCACCACCACCGTTATGAGACCTATTCGCAGAACTTGGGCGACGCTTCTTCACGGGCCGCACATTATCCTCACCATCCGACTCGGGACCTAGCATTCCACCTTCCTCACTCACGTAGGATTTACTAAACTTCCCACGGTCGAAGTGGAGGGGTGCTGGGGGAGGTAGCCCATTTCTTGCATTCTCTTCCACTTTGCGCCTGTAGTTTAATTCCCTCTTCTCATCCCTCCTGGCTTGGTCCATAGCCCGTTGGTCGCGACCAATAATGACAGCGTAGGTGGTCATCTGAAAGACACTGTCGGCAAATTCTATCCTAGCAAAGGATTCCAGTTTCTGGCTGGCACTAGTCGACATGTGGTCGCCGCTTGTTGTTACAGCATCACTTTCCTGAGGAGGTAATGAGGCTTGTAAAGAGACCTCCGAAGGAGCTACTATAGAGGGACCTTGGTTCTGGAACAGCGCAGAACTCGCCTGGGACAGGTTCATTATATAGGCGTTAGGCTGTACCGTGCCCTGAGTATGTCGCAAACTAGATGACATATTTCGAGACGAGTAGTCCATGCTTGTAGGTTCGGGGTCGGTAGTCGCGACGGCTTCCACTTGGCTGCGCGATCGTCGAGCATTATCCGGTATTCGAGTTCGGTCAAATTTCATAGGAAAGGTTTCTGTAGCCATGCCTAGGTTGGCAGAGGCTAGATGAACGGCCGAGGAGGGTTCGGAGGCGCCATTCGTAGCTGGTAGAGACCCAGTAGAGATATCGGGAACATCATCGTTATCGCCAATGTTTACTTGGGTCGCGGCAGGAGTAGAAAGGGGGGAGACAGTAGGAGGCGAGGGCATTGAATGGATCTCTTGATTTTCATCGCGGTATGTATCTTGATGAGTAGAAAAAGATGTCGGCGCATTCGCATCGGCGGCAGTGGTACTGGTATTGGTAGTGGCAGCAGGTGCGGGATCTGGATCGGCTGCGGGCGGCACGCTTGGCGGCGGAGAGCCATGTACTACTGGCTGGTGACCAGGATGGGCCACGGCAGCTATGGACGAAGTCATCGCTGTTGAATTGAATACAGCTCCTTCGTCTATTGCGTGCCAGTTTGAGTTTTTGCTGGGGGGAAGGAAAATGTTATGGAGAAGTCGAAGGTGGGTTGGGTGTAGGTAAGAGGTACTGTACTGCCAGTAGGAGAGAACGGGATTTGTTGTGACCGCCTTCCCGCAACGTAAAAAAAAATATACTATGTACCAGATCAAATCTTCTGATTTGATTCAATGATTTAACCCCGCCAAGCGTTTTTTTTTTTTGCAGCCACTAATAGCAGACACTAACGGCCACTAATATCCACTAGCCAAAGTTGTCCAGCTGTGATTGGTTGGTTCAGGTTAAACTAATCGGACGCTTTTAACAACTGCTGCTACATACCTACCTGTATCTATGTTGGTTAGGCTTGCCTGGGCTGCCAGCTTCTGCAGACTGCAAACAGACTGCACCTTTTTTGCTTCTCCTCGACGCTATAGCCAATTGCGCTCGATTTTGCAGCTGGGTTGTCTCCGTCTTCACACGGTCAACTATCACGAAACTAATGAGTGCGGATGCCCAAACTTTACTGCTCGATCGTGTGGTTTAGGCTCGAAGGCGCATTGAAGCCAGGTTAGGTTATAATGCATTAGGTACCTAGGTATGTAGAAGGATGAGATCAAAGTCAAGTAATCACAAGACTAGGTAAGTTCATATTCGCATTGGAGACGCAAAGTACCTAAGTTTTGGGTAGCTTCAAAGCATGCACGTCACTACTAGTAAAACACTACGAACCTTGAAAAAACATGGCATAGTCCAGAATATCCATTTAATATGTATCTAAGCTAGGTACCTTAGGTAGGTAAACTATTGCATTCTCAATTTTGAATCATACATCCGCCTCAAGCATGCAGTAGCGGCCGTCTTTCACTCGACAGCCCATCTCCCCTTTTCTCTACCCAATCCGCAAGTTTATAGGCCCAGTAACAAAACATCCCAGCGACAAAGCCGACGGCATCATTCTTAAAGGCCAGGATCCCCGCCGTAGTCATGAGCATAACAGTCCACCTCTCAGACCTCTCCTGGTCCGAGATATCCCTATGCTTCCTCGGTTGGTCCTGATCTACTGACGACTCCCATAGATCCGAGGCGCCGTGGTTCAAGCTTTGGCCCACCTTCGCCAACTCCAGGCCGGCGGCGACGACCATAATACCCAGAAGGCTTTTCGGAAATTCCTTGAGGAGATCTAGCAACGTCTCGCCGAAGACGACGCCGAGTATCATTTTAAACAAGCCTAGAAGAATGATACTGGAACCGCTCCGCGCGCCGAACCTGTATTGAGCCGCAAGACCCCCGGCCCCGTGACAGACGGGCATAGCGCCGAACCAACACCCCAAGAGGTTCATACTGGCGACGCTGATGCCGAGGGCAGTGACGCTAGGCCCCGGTAGATCGGGCAGCAGGTCTGCTGCGAGAGCGCTGGCGGCAATAATCGAATTCAACGTCGTAAGCGGCAGCTGCGCGACGCCCATACCGATAGCATCCGCACTCCACCATGGGAGCGCAAACCACGGGTGCCAAACCTCGAAATGCGGTAGGTAACGAGAGCTCATCACGACAGATATGATAGCGAGGGTCAAGCCCGTCACAAAGATTACCAGGGCGTATGGGAACCAAGACGCTCTCTGAGTAAGTATTAGTAGTAAGAAGGCAGCTATAGACCAGACCAGGTTGTCGAGAGCGAAAGTCCAATGATGGATGAAGGGCTGGAGCAACGAGGTACCCGCCGAGATGACGAGAGAGAGTCCGGCACCAAATTGGATGCCCTTAACTACGGGGATAGGTATTAAGCGCGTGACCCAGTGCAATAGACCTGTAATGCTCAGGAACAATACGATGATAGCTACCACGCTGCCTGCTGCTACCGTTTCGGGCTCCGAGGCGCGAGAGGCTATGGCAGCTGCTGCGATAGCTTTCATGGGCTGTACAGGTAAGGGGATACCGAATACTACGCCGGTTACGAGGTTAAAGAAGCCGGAAAACACGAGCGTAGTAGATAGTGAGATGGAGCCATTGACCGCGAGGGTGATCATTAAAGGTAGGAGGGTACCTAAATCGCCTAACGCGCCCGATATCTCAGCGAGCGGCGAGTCGCGTAGAGTCGCGACATTGTTGCGATGAAACAGCTTGATGTTGGAAAGCAGAGCCATGAGTGTATTGTTTGTTGACTTGGAGATCTTATCGAGCCCGTTTGCAAGAAGATATCAGGATGAGAAATCGATAAGATCTCAGCTGCAACTACGGTTTCCGTCAACACGGAAATACCTTGCAATTGCAACTCCGCAGCTTTCTTCGGGGCTACCCGAGACATGGGACCCCCCCCTTCCCAAGACTTTTGCTTCTTCTTGTAACGCATCCGAATGTTCGACATGTGCTACCTTAGATATGTATGTAATTAATTACATATTGCATAATATTACGGTACCTAGGTACCTTATATGAGACAAAGTTCAAAGTTCAAAGTTAGTATTGATTAAAGTTTGACAAGTTCGATATCTAAAAATATGTGTAGTTGAAATACACTTTTAAAGTATTACTACGCTGGATACATATTACACAGGGCTGACAGGTCATTTTAGAACTGATGAGTTATACAGTTTTTCAATACATAGGAGGTACCCTACCTAGTATAAGGTACACTTGTATATAATATACACTGGTGCAGCTTTTCAAGTGATTTTACTCAGCTTTCTCCACTAGTAGCGCTAGTAGAAGAGTCCCTAAAAACAAGTTACAAAGGATTTAATTTTTTTTTTCTTGCAACCTCGGTAACAAGCGACCCGGTATGATCTTGACGGTGGAGTTAGCTTTGTCAGAGACAACCTTAGGTACTCAGCGAATTATAGAATGGGCGTAACAACGGGAACTGAGTATTCCACCACGGGTTACATCACTAATCCGGCAAATAGCTGTCCACTCGCGAGACTTACAACATCCACCCTTAGTTACATAGTACATCGCTACCAATGATTTAGTCACGATTTGCTTTCCTAAAAGCGAATGACGCTAATAAGTAGTCAAGTACAATTATGTATAGTGTATAGTACCTGTGTAGGATAACTGTATAAGATCCACGTGTTTATGTAGAATGCCGTCACGACTACTTGAAACATAAACCTTGAAACAAGGAGATTGTGGGGTTTCCAACGATATGACGGCTATTAGTAATGACAAAAAAAAAAAAAAAAAAAGATAGCCCGTATTTCCAAGCCTCTTTAGGTTAAAGAGAACCGGGGAACTCGCTGTCGAACCGAACGGGAAGATCGCAGTGGGAAGGATCCATCGATCTTGGTAAAGCGCTCGGAAAGTCAGGGACCCGAAACATTAGACCTAAACATGGAAATCGATCGCATATTTTCCATCACTCGCCCCCCTCCCCCCTTTAAAATAAAAGGTACCTACCTACCTAGGTATGCTAGATATAATATTGTATATTTCTATATTCCCGTAAACCGCGCAAAAATCTTTCTTCTTGTCTTGTTAAAATTGTCTCTTATATACCTATGCATTAGCAACTTGTTTTTTTTGGCCGACCCTATTTGACGAAGTCTTTGCTGGCTTTGAGAATAGCTAGCTATTCAGGTTCTATTCAGGCAACTTAGATGCTCAAAATTCTTCCTTGGATATTTTATAGTACTTCCATCCACCACTTCGGCATAGTCGTACCCTAGATCTTGGTCCCCAAAGCGTAAAATCGTGTACTATTGCTACTACCTGTGTGCGGGTTGTATTGGTCTCGGACGCTACACCAAAAAAGTAAGTAGCAGGGAGGTCAATACAATTATCGTCATGCTTTCGACGTTATTACTGCTGCAGGTGGCTGCAATTTTATACTTCATATACAGTATAGTATCAGGACTCAGAAAGAATATTGCTGCCGCCAAACGAAGCGGACTCCCTTACTACATTGTTCGTAAGTTAACCAAATCCAGCTTTCTCTTTGTTATAGATCCTCTAACACTTCTCTGTTCTAGCCATTAGCCCGTGGAGCCGAATATGTCAAATATTTCATACATTCTGGATTCGTTTATTTAAACTTCTTCCACGTAAATACTGGGAAGATGTCGAGCAGTAAGCAGCTTAAAACAATCACCACCGCTATTACTTAGTAATCTAGATTCTAACCCACGCCGATATTAGCGTTTTGAATCCTAACTGGCAGTATATGCAGAACCATAGGATATTCTCCAAGCTCGGAGATACTTTCTTGGTTGTTTCGCCGGGGAGGATCATATGCTTCACAGAGAATGCCGAGGTAATTCATCAGATCACGTCCAAGCGAGAAGCGTTTCCGAAGCCAACTGAGTCCTATGGTATTCTCGCGCAGTATGGTGAGAACGTAGTGACGCTAGAAGGCGCCGCTTGGCGTATGCACCGCAAGATCACTTCGGCCTCGTTCAACGAGAGGAATGCCGCGTTGGTGTTCAAGGAATGCATCAGCCAGACACAAGGGTTGCTCAACCTCTGGCTAGGCCCGGACGGCCTAGGAAATAAAACATTCAAGACGCTCGAGCACGATACGGCATCCCTCATGCTCAACATTATCGCAAACATCGGATTTGGTCTCAAGATCCTCTGGCCCGGTGAGGAGTTTCCGCCTGATGCCGACCCAAGGTTAATCAAATACGGAACACGTGAGCCTCCTCCAGGACACACATTGAGCTTCGTAGAAGCATTGGCTCGTACTTTGAAATACCTCATCATCCTCTTGATCGCGCCGAAATGGATACTCAGGATTGTCCCCAACAAGCACGCAAAGAAGGCTTTAGAGGCGGAAGAGAATTTCTTAGGCTATCTGAACGAGTTCTTGCACGAAAAGATCGAAGACGTGCAGAAAGGAAATAAAGCAGAAGAAGGACTCGATATCATGGGCTCGTTGGTTCGTACGAGTTACGGAGATGTGGCAGCCGACGGATCAGCAAATAAGAAAGGAACCAATGTTGCACGACTAACAGACTCGGAAATAAGAGGAAATGCTTTTGTGAATATCGTAGCAGGACACGAGACTACAGCCAACATCCTTCATTTTACATTGGCCCATCTGGCTACTAGTCCTGCTTCCCAAAGGAGACTACAGCGGGATATCGACAACCTTATGGGAAATACGGACCCCGCGAAGTGGGATTACGAGGCATCTCTGAACCCTCTTCTTGGTTCGACGGTTGGTGCTGTTATCAATGAAACACTTCGTCTCTTGCCGCCTGTCGTGGATATCCCTAAGATGGTGTCTCCAGCGCAAGAGCAGTCCCTTAGCATAGATGGGGTAGGACACGTACTTCCTCGCGAAACATCAATTGGCCTGGTGGTCGTAGCCGCACAGCGCAATCCGAGATATTGGCCGACTAAGCCAAGCAAGATTAGCGGTGCCGAGACGGATATGGATGACTTCGTGCCGGAGCGATGGTTCCAGACAGACTCGGCGAAAAGCGGCAGCACCGCAATCGAGGGGGAGGACACGGAGGACTTTGGTGGTTACACCGGATCCGACACCAGCGCCCAGCTGTACCGGCCGCCGCGGGGTGCGTTCATCCCATTCTCGGACGGTGCACGGGCGTGCTTGGGCCGCCGCGTAGCGATCGTAGAGCTGGTCTCGGCATTGGCCGTCATCTTCCAGAAATACAGCATCGAGCTCGCGGTGGACGAGTGGGCGAGCGACGAGAAGGTAGCGGAGATGAGCCACGACGAAAAGGCCAGCTTGTACAAAGTGGCGCAAGAGAAGTCTAGGGAAACGATAAAAGAAGCTAGAAGCTACATCACGCTGAAACTGCATGGGGATAAGTGCATCCCCGTCAGGTTGGTTAAGAGGGGCAGTGAGAGATTTGCCAACTGGGTCGATTCATGATACGTGTAAGAGGGAAGAGCTCTACTATATATATATATCTCTCTCATATGATGTGTTCATATGAGAGCATCTCTAGGACATTATAAATCATATATATATACGGAATGAGACATAGTACGAAGAAAGACAAATAACTCCTGAGAATTTTCTGTTGACACTATCCAAAGGACAACAACGCCCACGAAGCTCAAAATACATATACCCACTGTCCTACAAACCAGACATGGTCCAGGGTATTAAAAAGAAAAGACAATATTGACACGTTCGACGGCTCCAATTTTTGAAAAATTCGAACATCTCTAGAACGTGGCAAAGCGTTTTTGATTGATTCGAACCTGGTCTCCACATGGAGTAGACAAGTAAAATGGGACGATGACACCTTGACCTAGCTTGACATAGCAAATAGCAAATCACGATCTTGGATTTCCCAATCGGGGTACCGCGCATCGATGGTCCCCGTCCCGCCCGTTTTGCTGTTGTTAACGTACTATGTATTGTGCATGTACGTATTAGCCTGTTAGCTTAGCTGAGGAGGTTACTAAAACCTGGTCTAAAACCTGGAAAACTTTAGGTATTGTTAGGTTAGGTACTTGCCAGCAAGCAGATCCTAGGTGGGTAGCACCTCCCAGGGCAAAAGATAGCTGGGTACCTAACCTGTAGTATAAGGTCAGGCAGGCTGGCAGGCTGGAAAAGTAGCAACTTCCACATTAGCAGATTTATTAGGTACGTGTAGCATTATGTTATAGACCTGGCGCTCCCGCACCTGCACGTCAACAGACGAGTCAAAATAAGAAAACATAAACAACCCAGTCCACCAGTCCACCACCGCATCACCGCGGCAAGTCCTCCCTGTTTTTTTCCTTTCCCTCTTAAGCCTCCCACCAGCCCGCGTAAGGTACCTACAATCTCATTACCTATCTGTCATATCAATCTATCATCATCACCACCACCACCGCCATCATCAATACAAGCCTCATCTTACCAACTTTTCCCAATCCTGGCTACGTCACCGACCACCACCATCACCATCACCACCAACAACAACGACAACTTTTAACTAATCTCTTTTTCTTAAAAGAATTATTGCATCTTAATCGCCTACCCTACGCGACAACCGCTTATATCAATTCCCCGCGAAGCTCCAAGCTCCAAGCCTATAACGCAACAATGTCCGGTGCAAATAGTTGGCTGCAGAGGCAGCGAAAGACTGATTTGATTGAGCTTGCCCAACACACGGGTCTCAGAAAGTATGTACTACATCTTATTCAGAATGCCCAATTACCAATCCCTTAATTTATTCCTAATTCAAAGAAATGCATGCACCTTACATCACTACGTCCCGTCCCATCCCATCCCGTCCCGTTCCTCTGGAATGCGGGATGACGAGATAACATTTATCGGCCCCACGCGCCGAACTTGAGACAAGAAGAAACCACATGGCTAACTCGTTTTCTCTTTGTTTGCGCAAAAATAGTTTCGAGTCCTTAAGGAAACCTGAGCTCGAGCTTGCCCTCGACGAATACCTGGCCGAGAACTCATCAGCCTTCTCGTCCGACCCTAAGCTCGCCGGTTACTACTCTAGCCGCGCCCGAACTACCGGCTCTCCAGTCAAGAGGGATGCTCCTGATGGCGTCGTAGAAAGGCTGAAGGTCGCCAAACGACGAGTAACTAAAACTGCCGAGGAGATCATTGCTCCCGAGTAAGTCGCATCGCGATTCATAACAGGCCGTATTTGGCTTATTTCGATAATCAAAACCGTTTACATCTACTAACTCCAACTCGTAGGTCTGATGATGAGCCTAACAGCCCTGCCGCCGCTCTCGCACGTACTCCTGGTCGTGCCCTCTCTCTTGCAAGCCGCATTCCACTCCCTGCAACTCCTGCAGACGTTGCCGAAGCTGTCGACCGCTCCACCGTTGCTGTCAGGACGCACGTCGTGTCTCTATATAAGGAGTCTGGGATCACAGAAGCAACCCACGCGACGCGCGAGAGCCTGTCGACCGTGACTTCGGTGCTCTGCGCCATCTCCGCATTTGAGCTCTATTTCTTACGTCCTGAGATTTTGGCCGACCGATACGCGTTCACTGTCCCCGCCATCTCTTTCCTCGGAACTAAGGATTTCCCAGTTTTTGTCCCTGACATGTTCCTGCTCTTGACCTCGTCTTTCTGGTCTCCCGCGCTTCTATGGGCTTTCACGAGCGCTATTCTGCCTAGCATTGCCGGCTACTTCTTCAACCTTACAATCAACTCTAACCACGGTCGCCCTAGTCGCCGCTCGCACACACCGGAATCGGTAGTGGACCCGTTGACTTTTAGTATTGCCAAGGCTCTGATCTCTTACGTGGTCTATGGCCAAGGTATCACATTTGGTGGCTGGATAGACGAAACTTCCATCGCCCGCATCAACACGGCTATACACGGCGGCTATAGGGGTATCCTGACCGGCACTGCCATCACCGCCGTCTTGAGCATCTATGACGCGATACTAAGGAAGTAGAGGAAGATGCACTCAATTCAACTATTGGAGACTATGACAGTCGAAGATTCCCGAACTCAACCCTACTTCTTGTTACTATACAACGCTCGCTCCCAGTCTTATCCTCTCAAATACCGCCTCTACCAGGTTGGTTACCTACTTCAAATTTCTCATCCGGGTCCTGGAGGCTGGTGGCGTTCTGCGGCGTTTGGCTCCCTTTTGTCTTACACCCCAATACCAGCTTGATTTCCAACTCCCTCTTAATGTACCTACCCTAACCTTATCTACCCCTACCCACCGCTATTCCATTATGCCGCTTTCCTCCTCCTCCCCCAAAACAGCCGGAGTACATCCGACTGGCTCCCCTTCTCCCCCAGGTCGAGCCAAAAGTCAGGATTAACCCTGTCTGACAATTATAGACTGGACTAGGTATCAATCGTCACGGATGTCCGGGTTAACGACAAGGACGTCTTTATATTTTTTTACGTTTTGGTTTATCCAGTTCCGCGTCGAATCAGACTCTTGCAATAAGTTCCATGGGCTCTCGCGATGCGCGGTCGTACTTGTTGGCTGACTCGACTTGTTTTTGTTTATACTATGAAGTATTTTGATGCTGGCTGCCTACCCCCTCCCATTGTGGGATTAGTTGGGTAGTCATTCTCTGTATTTCTTGTTTATAAGGTATATATCTATACTTCCACCGTTCTGGTTATTTTCAAGAGAGGGCAAGGAAGAGGAACTCGGATGGTCGGGTTCGGGTTGGGTTGGGTTGGTATAGTGATATACTTTCTCGTGCATATATGCGTGTATGATGGGAGGCAAGGTCTACCTGTTTTCTTCTTCTTCTTTATCTCGTTACGTCTTCGGCGACGAGCCGAATAGACGGCGAGGTGGGGGTTCGAGGGACTGGACGGCTTTGCGATGGTGAGTGGATGGTGGATGGCGATTGTTCATGAGTCGATGAGGCGTTGGTTCGAGAGAAAGGCGGCAAGGTTCGCCGGATTGTTATTAGGTACAATAGGAATATATATTGCGGTTGCTTTTTTCCCGCTGTTCAAATCATGTCAATACTTACCTACCTATCTACGACGATGGCAAAGCTCATCTTGTATAAGAGCGAGCTAGATGTGAAACGAAAACGATCAACACGGTAACCTACCTACTAGATAGAACTATCCGTTTGGAGTAATAGGGGCATGTCTAAGAAAAGGTCCTTAACCTTACCTACCTACCTTTAAGAGAAACACAAGATATATATATAACTCAGCACTCAGGATGAGATATTTATTGTATGATATCACTCACTTACCTAAGTTACCAAGTCATATGTATCTTGACCTATATGATGCATTACCATATAGGCAATTCCTCAGTTCTCGACACTAGGTACCTAACCTATGTAGTATTCAGCTTTAATAGCCACGAATATATACATCTAGGTAGGTACCTACAGCTTCGTCTATTGTTCTCGTAATCTTCAGTTGCGCGAAATTGCTTAGCAAAATCATGAGTACGGTGGCATATTAATGGATTATAGAATACCTATCTGCTTAACAATCTTGAATGTCTCATTCATTATATGGACATATGCGGCAACTGAAACTGTCACTATCACTAAGGCAATTTTGTACATGCAATCACGAGAAGCTAGTTACATAGCAAAAGCTCTTTTTTTTTCTGATATTACATTATATACATACATGCGACAACGACAAATCTCCGCCATGCTAGACACTTAAACTCCGCGCCGTGTAGGATCTTCCAAGCTTTCTGGCCTCGACGATTGTAGGTTCGCGCAAATGGGACATGCTTAGTACTGGTGCTGTATGAATGTACAAAAAAATGGGCTTATACGCCGGACCCCAAGAAACAATGTGAATGGTCTTGCTCAAACGGGGTCGACTTCTTCTGCTCTTGGGCAAGAAGCCTGGTGCCATTGACGAAATGGTGACTGAAGTAGTGAAATTGAAAAACCGGACTCCTCATATGCGAACGCCCGTAAAATGCCGTTGCTCATGGTACCCTGTACCAGGCATGATGAATAGTTCTTCGTAGGTCTTTACCCCCTCTGGTGTCCTAATTCCGGCAACCCTCGTTCTATATTTCCGTTCGGTTGACTGTTGTCGTTCATCGATAAGTTCCTTTACTCTCACACAAAAGAAAACCGGTTCCCCTCGCATTATTATTAGTTTTACCCCTGCTCGGCAGGGTTTTCCCACTTAATGGGATGTACGAGCATGCTCCGTAGACATAGCCGGCCCGAGCTCTTCGGGTTCTCTTCCTCCTTCTGTCCGCCCCTCTTCGTACCTTCGCCAGCGCGTCCACCATTGTTACCTCTGCCATCCATCTGAGCATAACCAAGCCAGCGACGCCATAACAAACCGGCGAATTCACTATTGTAGTACCAGCTCGTCCCCTTGTGGTTATGCTCATTTACCAAGTCGAACGGAGAACCATGGCCGCCTGAAGTGTGGTCCCGACCACCATTGAAAGCCTTTTCAATCTCCTCTTGAGGCCAATTCCGATCCAAATAGACCGGGTGAGGGGCGTACACGGCCTTGAGACCATGGTGTAATGCCATAGAAGGCGGGAACATCTCGCTGAACATACTATGGTGCAGACGCCATGTTTCCTCATGCATTACTCTTAACAGACGACGCGATAATCGAGAAGCAGTTACAATGGCACACCTTCGGGGCGGCTTCTCATACTGCATGTCGTAACCAGTAACGTCGCCGGCAAAAACCCAACCAGAGTCCTCAACATCAAATAGCGGGTTGAGTGTGATTAGGTCCGCATCCTCCCCGACGCCGCATTTCGACATATCCGATCCACTCGAACAGCCTGACGGCAAGAAGATATCTCCTTGTTGGAGGCCGGATTTGCCAGTGAATACTACTGGCCCTAGGATCGGCCGTTTCCCAGACTGCTTAGTTTCATGGCGGACGAGCTCCGTGAAATTTTCCCAGCTACCGTGAAGTCCAGGGATATAATACTTGCTTGCTCGTTCCCACATGCCTTCTCGGCTCTGCGCAGCGCCCCACTTGCCAAGCCTGTCGAATAATTCGTAGTACGACCCAGTCCAGCGCATATCCATCTCCCAGTTCCAGAAATGTGCATATTCAGGATGCATCATCGCAAAATGCTGGAGCGGCATGTGCGCAGATCGGTAAACTCCATGAATATCACCATTGGACGGGTTTTCGAAGGTATCGCCGAAGTTACCGGGATAGTACAACTTCATCTGAGCCTCGGACCAGAGAGTACATAGCCCATGGAACTCGGGAGGAACATTGACATCGAGAATATTCTGGACCGTGGCAGGATCCGCCCAAATGGGTGCATTGTTGTCACGAACATGTAAGAGAAAATGAACGTCATACTCGCCACCAGACCTCAGGCTGAGTTCATTGATCATGGCACGGAAATTGAGCAGAGCATGACTTGTCCACTGAAAGCCGACGTAAGTTCGCACGACAATAGCGATGCGATCCAGTCTCTTGCGACCAGCTTGTGCTAGTTCGAAATCTCTAGTTTCGTTACCAGTGAAGAAGCGGTCTTCATTCGCCGCGTAACAACGTTCTTGAGCTGAGGCCCAATCAATATTTTCATAGTTGATCTTCCCAGTCTTCTCCCAAATAACCTCGTTACCTTCGTGCTCGGTATCAAGAGCTTCGCCTGTTCCACCAGACTTTAAGTCATAACCAAGACCATACGGTCCATATCGACCAAAACGATCGAAGCAGACATCCTCTCGTAAGCCTAAAAGATCGTAAGATCCTATCGCTGGCTTAGGTTGACCTTGAGGGACACCGCTGTACGCATACAGATCCGGAGCGGGAATCTTGTCATCCTCATCAATGTAGCAGCGTTTCACAGGAACATAAGTCTTCTGATACTCGTCGGAATCATAGTCAGGATGAGGACGATATACACTAGGCTTGGGCGGTTTAGAATGGTGGACAGTTGGTGAAGGACTAGAACCCTTGCCAGTAGACGATACTTCAGGGTACTCCGGCTTGTAGTCTGAGAACGATACAAGTGACCTTAGGCCATTATAATAGCCATCCAGACTAAATTCATTAAATTAGTGAACAGGTTCTTCAACTTCCGTATGCAAAGTTTTTGCATGTTACTTACTGCTTGTACTTAAGCCAGTGAGGACTGTTGGCATTATCTTCCGTTTCCTCCTGATTTTCCTCCTCTGGCTCTTCGTCCACCTTCTCTTCTTCTTCTTTATGCTCTTCTTGCGTTTGCGTCTCCTCGGTTGGCTTCTCCTCTTCTTCTACCGGTTCCTCCTGTATATGACTCTCAACGCGGCTGTCTTGTGTCTGTAAGACTATGTTGTCGGTGATCTGAGGAGCTTCAATGACCCCATTTCTACCCCCATGCACAAGATCAAGTACATCCCGCGATCTTTCAGTTAGGCCAGGATTGAAGAAGACATAGGTCAAGAAGCCGATGGTAAGGAAAGTCCATATAACTACTCTCCGATAGAGACAGTGGCCGAGTAGAGCTTTGACTCTGAACTTAGGCTGTGGTTTCGTGGATACTGGTAGATAGGCTTCGCTTTTTCGGGCCATGAAGCTGGGAAACGAACCCGACTTCCGGGACACATAATCCGACACCCTACCCATATTCCGTATGACGAGTTTGAGGATCAGAGATCTCAGGAAATATCAATGCTCAGCATCGAAAATGTTAAGCTTCCAGCTTAGCACATTAATGGACCGAGTTTCCAAATTTTTCCTTTCTTGCGCAACGTCTGTTCAGCTGTAAGTGCTAAACAGCAACGTTTTGGGAATTATCGATGTTATCGTGGACGAAGGGTACCGAAGACCCAGCGAGGTTGCTTAAACACTTATCCTTTGCGAAAGACGTCGCACTCTAGGAGTAAGTATGCTCGAAACCAACTGAATGCAAACACAGAAGCTGCAGAAGTGATAAAGGCTGTACAGCTGGAGGCAACAGGTTGCGACAAGTTACAAGTGGATAGAAAAAAAACGATTCAAATTTGAACTATCGAGTGAGTGAATGAAAAGAACAGTGTGGTATAATAGGATAGGGGAAAGAAAAAAGAGTGATCTTCCCAAATAGAGAGCGTATTGCGATTGGTAGGTTGTTAGGAATGGTGAAGTCGGCGTGAGAGAGTGGTGTTGCAGTTGTCGAAGTATGATGAAACACGCCGCTTCGAGAGTGATTGGATGGAGGGAAAAGTTTATAAGTTAAGGCAACAAAGCAGAAGAATTTTAGAATAGGGAAGTGGAAATCTGGAAAGAAAATAAAACGGCAGTCGTTGTCGGGCTATAGGTTTGCTTTGGCTACCTTTGGCAGTTGCCAGCTGTAAAGGCAAGGACGGGGCTTCCGCTATGAGAACAATGTACCTTCTACTGTACCGCCGCACCTCACACCTTGTAAAAGAAAAAGGGGAAGGTGAGACTTGGGACTTGGGACGTCGATCTTTCTTAGGATTATCTTTTTCTCTTTTGTTCTGATTGAATTTCAGAAAAACGTCGATCGAATGTGGGCACAGCTGAATAGACTACAAATACAAATGCAAATACAAATACAGTATAATGAAAAACCTGGTACATGTGTGATACATATGAATTTCGAGGTAACTATAATTTTCCAACGTCTGAATCGGGTCGTATTTGGACAGTGATTCTGGACTGGGACCCCCAGTCAAGATCCCCGGGACTCCTAATCCAGTGCATCTAGTGTACATACGTAGAAACTTTTTCGGCTTCATCAAGGATATCAAGAATACCTACCAAGGATACCAAGGATTACCAAGGACACCAATGACACCAAGGATCCCACGTCCATACTGCACACCTAAGCCTTTTTTTTCTTTAAGAAATGATGTGCAGTGAGGTGGTATGACGAGTCCACAAGCGTGTAGCATTTGTACATACCCTTGGTCCGCATATAAGTCTTACCAAATAATCATCTTCAAGAACGAACAGGGCTAGGAACACCGCTAACGGAGACGTTAGAAACTTTAATCAGTGCTGTCTTCGTAACCCTGATGAAAAAAAAAAAATGGTTAGTGTATACACCTACCTCCTCTTTACAAAAGGATTATTATAGCAAAACATCTGACGATTCTTTTACTTATTTGCGAGTTGGTCTTTTTTTTTTCCTTAAAGTAGCGTCCCAGCTAAAAATGGAAGTATATATATGTACCTCCCTCTATTGCTATAGATGACTGATGAGGCTCCATTACCAAGAACAGGAGTTCAACAGGTACAAATGTACAAATGTACAAATATACAGGGGTGCAGGACAATAGGGGTTACCGCTATCAAGACTTGTCAGGGCTTCTTATGCGGGTTAGTGGGGCCCAGCTCATGTCTCCCTTGTCCCCCATGTTTTATCATCGCGGCTAGCGTTACAGACAGTGGATTCTCATCAAATAACCTTCACCAATTTCATCATCAAGCACTTAGGGTAGGCCATCAGAAACGCGGATTGAAGGAAGGAGAGTTGCACTGCCTCTCCAGCCAGTCCCCAGTCAGTCGGTCCATTTACTACTATGTACTTGCTCTCGTTCCTCAGTTCATCTCCCGAATTCCTTGGAGATTATCCACTCGAGAGAGAGATAGCGTTATTTTATCCGTTTCAAAGAAGCCAAGATCTACGTCATTGCCATTAAAGCAATCTCTCTCTTTTTTATTTTTATTTCTTATTTTTCCGTCTTTTTTGTCTTTTTCACATGTTTAGATGCTTAGCATGCCCCTACCATTACCTGGTATGGTATAGCAACTGCTAGTGGCTAGAATTTTTCTTGTGTCACTGTCGGTGAGACATGAACGTACATGTACTACCTTTGATTGCATCATACCTATTCTTCAGTCGTGCAACCATTGTGTTAGCCTCAAGTTTTCAAGTTTGATAGCATTGTTACCCTAAAACTCTTCCCCACTTAGAGCTAACAAACCGGATGTTTTTTTCTTCTTCTTTCTTTTTCCATTAACTAGGTACCTAATCTACCTAGGTACCTGTTATTTTATTCTTCTCTTCTTTTCCTCCTTATACGATTGTCAACCATTATTAAATAGGTTACCACACATAAAAAAAAGAAAAAGGCGGTGCGAGGATTTGATAGAGCTTGTGAGGACAGAATAAACCCCCAACTACAGGAGCAGGGTCTAAGTATGTAACAATCGACATTATCGTGGGATTTGCTAAAATTGCACGGTAGCCAAGTCGAGTACCGACGATCTTCTTAGTTGGGGATGTTCCCGCTATTGCCAAGCAAATAATCAATCTGCCAGGGGAAATCAATCGCCAAGGACGCACAACGTGAGATCCGACTTGAAACGCGCATAACGGTAACGGTTCGACCGCTAAACTACTACTAATGTACCTAACCTGAACCTGACCTACAGAGGTAGTACACACCACTTTTTCCCACCACTGCCTAACTCGGGTTAGACCTGTACGACAACATCACCTTTTAAGGTGTGAGGCGCCCGTAGATATTTTGTCGCATGTACGATTTAGGGCAGAATGAATCCTTTTTTTAGGGGGTGGTTAATCTAGAAGAATTACTTCTAGAAGTGGCTTTTTTTACCATGTGCTAGGTTGATGACGCCTCACCCGTTTCTTGTCTTACCATACATTTCAACGTTCATACATCATGCATCTAATCTAAGTACGCTTACATCTTTTTTGCAACAGCCACATGCAATCAATTACAGCATAACAGACGAGAGATGAAATCCGACTCTTACCAAACATACGGCACAGATGCGGCCATATACACAAAACGGTAGTAATTTATTGGTAGGTATTTGCATACCTACCTACTTCGTACCTAAGGTATTGAAGCGTAGTTACGCATTTTAAAGTATACACATTTGGCCAATATAAGATATATGACGCGTGGGTTACTTTTTACTGCAAGTTAAGATAGACTTTGCATTCGTCACTCACCCCATAACCAACCCCAGCATAAGCCTATGAAATCATAAATGCTTAATCCTGAAAGGCTTCTAGAGTCTAGACAAGGCGTCTTGGCGCTTACTCTGGTGTCTGCGGCTTTCGTTGGTGGCTGACGAGTCGCTCGTCCCATGTAAACGTGCAATGATATTCCAAGGACGGGATTAACCTAACCAGACAGAGGACAACTTTGCGACCGGCAGCAACCAACCTGGCAACGAGCGTGTGGACGGGTCGAAGATGGTCAGCCGCCGCGGTTAGACCGAACATCAAACGGCGACGTCTGAACAGCTTAATTCGTCGCTTGTCGTCAATCTATCCGATGTGATTGATTCCTACAGGGAAATTAATGGCAGCTATCCGTTCCAGAGATCAGACCAACGGCCTCCAAGAGAGCTAGCTGTGCGCCGATCTTAAGGGAAAAAATAGAAGGAAAAAAAAAACTTGCAGCGCTTCGGTACCCGTCTGATCATGTCTGATCATGTTAGTGGTCCGTAAATTCCGGACCGGTGCCAAGGTGAAACGATATGTGTGCCGCATCCCGGAATGTTTCATGCACATGCAGACATATCGGGATGGATGTCAAGCAGACACTCGTTGTCAGCACTTTCTTTCTATTTATTTCTTTGGAGTTTGCGATACAATTAAGAAGAAAATCAATCATGTCCCGTGTAAAGCCGATTCGCAAAAAATACCTACCTTAGATAGGTAGTTAGAAGCGCTATCTTGGACAGCCAACTTATGATGTACAATCCAAATCACGTTTGGTGGTTAGGGAGGGAAATTGCAAGAGGTTCTACCCCAAGGTTAGAGCGAAACGTGTATGATCGATCATTCGCATGCTACTACCAAAAACAGATATGAAGCTTGCGTATATTGTAGTATGAGGTTTGCAGCTCCTAGCTATTTCGCTTACCTTCTACCAGTCGAATACGAGTAGCACTCCGTACGTCGATTGTACACGTTCTGCTGTACGATCGCGGCGAATTGTCACTGCTCTCTCTTGTCGCTTATTAGTTTGTAGAACTTCGCAATATTACTTGGTTATACTCTGCCCGACTCGTGGAAATATCAATGTGACAATGGCGCAATGCTGAGGGCTACAGCACTAGATAGATGTCTTCAGGAATCCTGTTGTGGTTGTCCGGAGATTGTAAGACGATGCCATTAGATTAGGTATGTACGCGACACCTTTTAACGACGTGAGACGTGAGCTTCTCGCCATGTACATACCAGATAGCTTGTGTAGTATAATAATAACAATAAACCTAAATTGATGAGTATATTGAACACCTACTCGCGAATTACTGCTGAGAAGCGGGAGGAACCGTACGTTGCTTATAACGGAAACGGGATCGTCGTCGTCTGACCCGAATAAGAATCAGCAAGCGCCATCTCGTATCCCTATACATATTCCTCAATCATTTCAACCTACCTTAGGTACCTAGATCGGAAAAGCCAGTCCAAGAACTCTCTTAATCGGTGAAAAAAAACTCTATTTTCGTAAAATTCATTCGCTATGCCTACGTATACCTACCTAACCTACTACCTACCACCTACTCATGCTGAGAATAGCACGCCCTTTTTTTTAAGTTAGATCTCTTCTTGTTCTTTTTCCTGCTCCGCCCCGCGCGTCGTCGTCAGCGGTTTTTGGTTACCCATGGTCTTCTTTCCGGCCTTTTCTTGCATATTATCATTACCACTATCTGATGTTTTCCCTGTAGTAGCTGCTGCTGCTGCTGCTCTTGCTCTCCTCCTCCTTCTGGCATTCATGTTCTGCCGCCATTGGTTGCCGCGTTTGATAGACACGAACACGCAGACGGTGCCTGCGAAGACAAACAACGCGCTGATGGTCGAGAACCACCCCACCCCGATGCCGTCGATGGCCGGGAGGACGACCGCCATGCCGGCGCAGCCGAACAGGTAGCGGATCGCGTAGTTGCCCGCAGTCACCTCGGCCCCGCGCCCCGGCATCACGTCCAGGCAGTACGTGTTCAGCGACGGGAAGGCGAACAGCTGCGACAGGCCCTGGAGGAACAGCACTAACACGGTCAGGGGGATCCCGCCGACGTCCTTCTCCACGCACCAGCCGTAGATCAGGACGCAGCCGGGGATCGCGACGCCCATGAACGGCAGGGCCGAGTACAGGCGGTCCTCGGGGATCCGCGTCCCGCGCTTCCGGATGTACTTCTTGACGACGTAGTCGGCGTACCGGCCGCCGACGAACGTGCCGAGGAGGTACCCGCACCCGGGCGCGAGGTAGAACAAGCCCCCTTGCATCGGGGTCGTCAGGTGGTACCGCGGGTTGAGCACGTAGCGGATGGGCGTGAGCAGGGAGTACATGTTCCAGACGAGGGAGGCGCTGGCGATGCCGGTGAGGAACAGGTTCGGGTACTCCCACAGTCGGATCACGCGCCAGGGGTTGATCATGGTGAGCAGGACCTTGACTTTGGCCGCCCCGCTGTAGCCCACCAGGTCGTCGATCTTCTTGTGGTAGATGGTCTCCGGAAGCAGGAAGTACGCCCCGACGGCCGCGGTCCCGGCTAAGCCCGTCTGCAGCCAGAAGATCACGCGCCAGGATGCATATGTGACGATGATCCCGCCGGTGAAGGGACCCAGAGCGGGTCCTACTAGTGTTCCGGTGAGGAACCAGCCTAGGGCCGTTGCGCGTTCCGTAGGCCGGTACATGTCTCTGTGTATTGGGTAAGTCATCTTTAGTCTCTCTTGCGTCATTTGTGGTTTAAGGATAAAGGAGTGATAGTAGTAATAGTAATAGTAGTAGTAGTACTAACCCAATGACGGATGCGCCGACTAAGATGAAGGAAGTGCCTTCGAACGCCGTCAGGAGACGGAACACGAAGAAGGCACCGAGATTTGGCGCTAACGCCGTGCCAATGCTACACCCAAGGAATCCTATAGCAGTTGTGAGGGTGATCTATTAAGGAGCGTTAGCTATTATCTACCACTACATAATGCTATTCATTCTACCGTGCTGTTAGGTAATGGAGGGTGTTCTTACTATTCTCCTGCCGTAGACCTGGCTCAGCGGTCCCCAGAAGATCGGCGACAAACCCATGAATAGCATATATATGGCGTTAACCAGGTTTACGATAGATCCGGTGGTGTTATATTCGGCCGCGACCTCGGGCGTGGCAGCCAATACTGATGTACTCGATATAGGCGCCAAGAAGGAGCAGAAGGACAGGACGAATACGATGATTAGCTTCCGGTGGGGCGGCAGCCGGTCGTATACCTCATCGGGGATCTCGACCACCGAGCTTATCGGCTCGACAGGCATGTCCGGGCCGAGGGAATGGTGTGTCGAGCACCGGTCAAGCTCCCCATTATCGGCGTCAGGCCGAGGCGCCGGCCGAATGGACTCTACTGTGCCTTCGGAGCGGGTTGAGGCGCTACTAGACGGTGGGCGGGAGGAGACGTCCGGGGCCTGGGCGCTATGGCCGACGGTCTTGGAGCTAGAGTTATTGGATTCGAACATTAGGAGGATCTTCGTTTAGTTATTAACTTTTATTAATATACTTTTCGTACTATTCGTGTCATCGTAGGCAAAAGAGATTAGTATTAAGGTGTTCACAACCAATTAGTAACAACAAATAGACTCAGTGAAGCCACATCTGTCTTTATTATAGGCTGTCCTGTCCAAAAATGAAACTGGACTTATCAAGCTATGGAAACTAGCTGACACAGAGAATAGTATATGAGAATGACTTCACTCGAAGCTGGCAAAGGGGGGAGGTCTTCCTATTTACACGAAGATCAGCCAATGGCCTGGACGGTAATCGGTAATAGGGGCAGCAAAACTCTGTTGGATTCCTGACGTCTTTTTTTCCTTTGTTGACATGGGCCCCTCTGCCCCGGAAGGCCACACGCCTGCCACGCCGAGAATCGGTGGGAACTTGGACCGAACTTGTCTCGTTAGGGCATGGCGATACGAGGCTAAATGACGGTTGGAGGTGGATACCAAACCGGCTGCAATGCCGAACGCGTTCCCCTATTGGTGCATTCCTGCAAGTTTGTTAATTTATTGGGTAGTTACTCTGAAAATTTGGAGCTTTTTGCCGAGAGGGATCCTGAGATAATGCCAACCCGATATGTTTAACCTCTGGAATAGGGAAGTCAACATGTGCTTGCGTGGAATTTTCTTTTTTTTCGCCATCGAGGAGTTAGCCGAGTTCTATAGCGGTGAGAGCCCGATCCGAAAATATTAGGTACTGACAAACACCAGGTAGTGTACGGTTTATAGCAGCTATAGGATATGTATGTGGGTAGCCCCGTAATGATGCCGTGGGCTTCCGATGGGAAAAACCAATAACGATGCTAGCACACAAGACTACTGGTAGTTGTGCGATAAGAAATCTTGAGACCATCCCTGCGCGATATGGACACAATATGGAAATTGGTCTATAATTGTATCTCCAAATCGGCGCTTATTCCCGGTGCAGCATAAGCTTATCCGACGCGGGATCGGCATGCTAAGTGCATAGACGAGTTTGTGGTCTCCGACTGCCGCTGCGATAGTCGCTCCGAAAGGGAGTCATTACGGCTTGATGACTTGTTTGACATGTGCTACGTACTATGTTATAGGTAAGAAGCCATGATAGATTAGTGACTTGTTACGGATGAATCCATCGTTACCAGGAACAATCATAGGCTTCGGAAGAGGGACCGTTAGATATACCGTATCCGGTCTGCTACATACGTAAGTGGGTTTTGGAGTGAGTAGAAGTTTGATGTTGTGGAGATCAAAGCGATATGCGAAAGTCTCTTTGTTCTCCAAAACATTGTGAAAAGATGACTTGATGGTTGTTTGCTTTTGTCTGGAATTTTTAGATGGAACACTTCAAAGTCTCATTGAAGTTTAGTCGGTGATGTGGCTGTGTGTGGGTGGCTAGAGGTATGCCTTGAATGAATCATGGCTGGTGCTTTAGGCGAGGAACATCGATGAGTGGATTAGGTACTCGAGGTACATAGGTACCTGATCAAAACCTAAGAACCCTTACGTAAGAACCTTTGACTAAACCCCCTCCATGCGAAATTAGCCGTGGTTTACCCAATCACGCACACATCTCAATTCAGCGCAAAAAATCGATTTGACTAGAGCTTTACGAAACATTCCGCAATATTCAACCCACCGACAACTTTCGACAGCGCAACACCCCCATAACCGCCGTCAAAATGGTACGTGAAATAAGGACTCTATATTCAATTCTTGTTAAGCAGGTATTGCATTGTTGAAAAGTCGCCCTCCCGCTAGCTAGGATAATATCATATTCGCGAAGGAGAAATTCTTAGGTCGAGCTTCATAGCGAAAATTACGGCATGAGACGAATAAACCCAACCAGCTAACAATGCCTTGACTCCTCCCATCAACCGATATTTTATCTTTTTAATGCGAACGATTATGGAGGGCGACGATGCTTTAATACCTCGTGGACGATGAGATGTTTCGAATTGGAAAATAATAATATTATATTATATTATTACGCGACAGTGGGCTGACGGGAAATTTCATCTAGGTCAACATTCCCAAGACCCGTAAGACCTACTGCAAAGGCAAGGAATGCCGAAAGCACACCCAGCACAAGGTCACCCAGTACAAGGCTGGCAAGGTATGTCTACCGTCTACCCTCGATTTCCTGGCGCCGAATCTTCCAGATCACGATCACGACGTCATAAACGATTGCCTCCTCAACTAGCTTCTAACATATATCATCCAGGCCTCTCGGTTCGCGCAAGGAAAGAGACGTTACGACCGAAAGCAATCCGGTTATGGTGGTCAGACCAAGCCTGTGTTCCACAAGAAGGCTAAGACAACGAAGAAGGTCGTGTTGAGATTGGAATGTGTTGCTTGCAAGACCAAGATGCAGCTGGCGTTGAAGCGATGCAAGCACTTCGAGCTTGGGTACGTTTCGACCGAGCATCTCTTATCTTTTATCGATGGGATCATACTAACAAGCTTCCAGTGGTGACAAGAAGACGAAGGGTGCCGCTCTGGTGTTCTAAACGCATTTCCTACTCGAGTCATTGTGTATGCACGTTCTTCCTTCATGGCAATAGGGTGGTTCATTACGGCCGGGCATTCACTGGCGACGGGAGTCTTTGATACTCGGATTGGGAGCAGCATATAGGTCAGAATAGAACCGAATCTGCTCTTCTGAACTTCCTTATGCCGTATGTGACAAAATGCTAGGAGCGGAGAGGCAGCGAGAGAGGTCGACAGAGCTTTGTTTGGGTTCTTGACATTAGGGATGCCGGCTTGATGCCTCTACTACGATTACGATATTTGAATGCCATCGCGCGTGGGAATACCCGGTATCTGAGCATAGAATCAATCGCTAATCGATCGCATTCTGTGATCTAAATGTTCTCTGAAAATATGTTCCCGAGCCTCGATTTTTGTCAAAAGTTTTCCATAAATCACGGATGCGGTTCCCTCCAGCCGTCCTTGTAATATGGATGTTCAGCCTCATGTACTAACCTACCTTTCTTCCGCGCTCCCGAGTAATCTATAATTGACCACAACCCATTAGGTACTCGTATTTATATCCTATAGATACTATGGTTTTTGCTGTCCATCCCCCATGGCTAACTGATATAATTTCAAGGGTTTATGGTTCCCTAGAGACTCCCTTTATTCGAAAAGTACATGGTAGGTAAATTGAATACTAATAAAACTCTACGGTTGATCTTTCGAGGCTATGCCGCTATACAATTCTTAAAAGCCAACTTCGTACCTCTATCGCAAAGTAATCGTCCACTGTCAAATATCCGACCGAGAGGTATACAGAATCTAGAACCCCTCACCTATCTGGATCGTGCGACCACCACCGTACCACAGCGTCCCAACCCGCACATCCAAACCCTTCTCCTGGCCGACGACCCATTCCCCGACCAGCCTCGACCCGGCGTTGTCCCACACCTCGGCCTCCAACCACGCGTTGATCTCGTCAATCGTATCGACCCACCGCTTCCGCTGCTCGGGCGACGCGTGGTCCGCGTCCGCCAGGTACCGCGCGAGCGTGACGTGCGCGCTCGGCACCACGTACCGCGATGTGACGATGACGCCGGCGTCCTTGGCCAGCTCCCACATGTCGCGGCGCAGGTGGTGGTACGTGTAGGAGTCGCCGCCGTCGCCGCTCCCTTCCCCGCTGTCAGATGCGGCGGCTGGGGGCGGCGAGAGGCGCGGCTCGGAGGAGGCGGGCAGGAAGGACAGCGCGACGGCCGACAGGTCGTAGGAGACCATGGGCTTGACGAGGCGCGACCGGTGGCGGAACGTGAAGTTCGCGATGCGCGGGATCGAGGGCCTCAGCGTCTCCTTGAGCGCTTCGATCTCGGCTGCGGTGCGGGAGAAATCGATTTCCAGCGTGGTGATGTGCATGCGGTGGGGGGGCATGAGCCAGAGTGCTGCGGAGGAGTTAGCATTGTGGTTTAGGAATGCAGTCAGAGGAAGTAAGCTGGTATGTTGGGGACGCTGCTATATAGCCCTGCTTGACGTGGCTAGCTGGTGACTAGAAGATATGTAGGTATGTTTACCTGGTGCAACAGCTTTGAGCTTCTTCTGGATCGCCTCCGCAAGGTCTAGGATGTGGGTTGGAGGACGCCCCCAGAATGTCATGCAATGCCTCGGATCTTTCTACTAGCTGTTAATAATTCGAACGCGGATCCGGTATTCTGGGCAATCTAGAATTGCTCTGGCTACCACGGTTTGAAGAGAGCATAGAGTAGGATATAGCGGTACGAAAAGGAGGAGTGATAACATACTGTCGACTGATTAGCAGCTATCAATCACATAAAAGTATCATGGCCAAGTCTAGGTATAAAGGCCCCTTGTACCCACCAAAGCCTGGCTCTATCTGAGGATTTTCTAGTCGTAGCAGATACTGATCTATGATCAGCCCTGTGTAGTCGGGGGCGAGAAACTTGGCTCTCTGCTGCGCATTGCGCTTGACGCGATGGACAGCATATAGCTCCTGGATTTTCGCCTGGATTCATTATTAACTTCTGCTGAAATATCTTTACGCAACTAATTCTCTTCAGAAGATATGCTTTAGTAAATTCATATTATGTGGCATAAAGCTATTGATTGGTATTTATACTAGATACCCATGGACCTAATGCATGGATTGTGGGAAGCAAAACTATATAGGAATGGATGTAGCAACGAGAAGGCTCACTCAACTGGATCATCATCGCAGGCTTCTATCAGAGCATTATAAGGATTTTCACCCGGCTTTGGGACCACACCGGACAAGTCCTCCAGCTTGTTCTCGATCCCGGTGGACTGATGAAGAATTGACCCCATCTTGAATGCTGGGACGAAACTCTTCTTGAGTAAGTAGGTATATGACCAAAAAGATGTATTTTTAGGGTATATAGCCTCAAATATCCGATAATCGGACCTTATAAGAAGAGCGACGTGAGGCTGAAAAGGGTAGTGTACAGTTCACCCCTTCTGGGTTGTAAAGAGGTAGCAATTGGAATAGAGTCAAAGCGCGCCCGCTTTTAGACACCTTGTTCTAGTTTAACTGTTCTATTAATCAAATGCTTGGGAAATAGAAGAACTCGGGATCCTCGTATAGGATTATTACTCTCTTCTTGGGTTGCTTTCTTTCTTGGAAAAGGGGAACGTTATTAATAAGCCCAGTCCACTAAAAGTAGCGCCAACTGCGCCCTCTGCGCCCTTGTTATTAGCCTGGGCAATGTTATGGTGGCTGATTAACCAATCACGTGCATATCCTAACTTCACTTGAGCTTAAACTTTCCCTCATTTCTCACCCACTTCTCATCCACTTCCCACCCACTCCTCACTTACATACTATTATGTCTAGGTATTCCCTTTTCTTCTTTAGATATATCCATTCGATCTATCCATTCCTTTATATACACTATTCGTTTTGGATCCTCTACTATGACGGTTATATCCTACGGTTATGTCTCCATGGTCATGTCCCCACGTAGTCAAGGTGTGTTTTAATCTGTATTATAAGTACTGCGAGACTGGAACTAATAACTGTCATATAAAAAAACTGCTCCAATGCTTGCGATGAGTTGTTATGGCATATCTACGCTCAACATTGCCATACTTTATCTCGACTTAGATGTATATCTCCTCAATAGGGATATATCATTCCTAGCCCACATCGTATAGTCGTTCGTCCGGATTCTGGGCCTGTGTCTGCGCAATCAATGCCAGGTAAATTTCCCGCTCATCTCCCTTAGTGGCACAGCGCTGGGAACAGTGAGCATTGGTTAATTCGATCTTTATCTCCACGTTAAAACTGCTTTTTCTTTTCAATCTCTTACTGTTCAGTGGTTTTCTTTCCTGTGCCTCTAAGGTTTTGCAAGATGGCAAAGTAGTCTTTGACGATATTTCTCTACCGTCAATAATTCCCTTTTCTTCTAGTCACTACAGCTGCACTATCCACTTAATTTCCTATTCTAAGCTAGGGCATACTAGCGAAGCACGGCTGGCGATCTGGCAATATCAACACGTATGCAGCCCTGTTCCGTGAAGTTCAGGTCATGGATATATCATGACAATGGGGCCATCTATTTTAGATGTATAACATGTGGTGTTTCTCCATGTTTTGCCTTAGCCTTTTGCGCGGCATCCTCAAAGGAACAGAAGAGACTAAAGGACCTACTTACTGTTCATCCATGATTCCTGATGGGTTATATATTTCACAGACCTGCTACTTCTGCTACTTGGTATGCCTGTTCCCCTTGGCTTTGCAGTCTCCCAAATTCCTGTTTTGAGATAGTTATAACTAGTCCAACTAGACCATGGGAACACATGTCCATGTTCTCTGGCACCTATAAGTTATTTTACTTCGTCATAAGTTCTGAATAGTATTAAGAATTTACAGACGCCTGATTATCTTCTCATCATACGCTGACCGGCATATTCTTCCCTTTTCTGCTTGAGTGCACTCTATAGCTCTATGTTAACCCATAGTCCCCCTCCTTGGAGGGCTTGGTTACATGGTTAATTGTGCCCTGTCCTGGAAAATACTATCTCTTGCGCTCTAGGAACTTGCTGATCGCCGATGAACGCCCAGTTTCGTTACTCATGTGAACACTCCTGGTTAATAACTGTCAAGTATAGTCTTGACTGGGTATTGGGTTGTCTTATTAAACTATTACAAGCTATCCTGTATATACCCCGGCGGCAGCAGTTGTCTATGTTGATGGGCTTCTTGCTACTCCTAATGCTAAACACCGTCTTGTGTCTTGTGTCTTACGGCAATGCTCGTCCCATCCACCTGTTACTCCCCCTCACCGTCAACTCCCTTCTGACTTCCTATCGTCACTCGGACTCCTTGTTGGCATCACCCTGGCACCCGGTTGCTGTCATCCTGTTGGTGTCTGAGACACCTATCCTCCTGGCTTGAAGCCCCCTAACTATCACACCCTCACCCCTCCAACCCCGTACATGCCACGACTCGACGCCTTGCTAGCCTACATGAAGCTAGGGCCGCGTAACAATACCCCTCGATCGTGAGTAGCTGCCCAAGTTTGTAGCCTAGGAGACCTAAGGTTTCTAGTGTGCAGCCTTCTTTCCTACCTGCCCTAATCCTGCCCTAAGTCTGCTCTTAAATTTCACCCACCTTTTCCCAAAACAAATAAATCTACCCTACCACCATCAACACTTCCATCAAGCCTCTTCCTCCAACACAATCCCTTTCATCCTTGCACATCCAAGCCTAGACTTGCAATAGCATTTTGGTTCCATCACATACCTTTTCAAGTTGCGAACTGTGCTTTGCAATTTCAAGACTTTTATCTCCCATTTCTACACTCTCTCCACGCATTCTTCCCTCACAGAACCTCTGTCCGAGGCAAACCTCCCCCTCTTTACCTATTCTTAGCTGAACACTAGCACATATTATTTCCTCCATATCATTTGCATTGACAGTGACTTGTATCTCTGGCCATGCCGCCTAAACGTGCTAGCGCGCCACGCAAAGTGGCTGCGAGCAGTTCTGGAGCAAGGAAACGTGCTAATGAAGACCCTCCCGAGGGAGTAGGTTCTAATCAAGGCAAGAATAGCAGCAGAGTAAAGCGACAGAAGAAAGTCTATGAGGAATCTGAAGATTCCGACTCTGACGATTTTGAAGATTACGAGGACGCGGATGATGATGATACTGACACCGACCCCCGTAATGGGCTGAATCAGAGCCTACCCCCCATTTCCAATGTTTATGCTGCCTTTCAAGACATTGCCCGCCGGTCGGAGGAGTTGCTTGGTGGCGATGACCAAATTGATCTTCGTGTTGCAACTCTGTGCTCTGGCACCGAATCCCCCATATTTGCATTGAAGATGCTTCAAGAATCTTTCGATCGACTGCAACCAGACAGACAGTTTTTCAAATTTTCTCATGTCTTCAGTGCTGAGATTGAACCTTTCAAGCAAGCATACATCGCACGAAACACAGAAGGAGCTATCATATTCAACAATGTGTTGGATTTCATCGACCCGAAAGATCTTAAAGCGTAAGCCTATTTCTTACTCATAAACTTTTATGAATCTAACTAATAATATCCCTAGGCCTACTGCAATGGGCGCAATGGAAGAGATCCCCGGGGACATCGACATTCTCGTTGCCGGATGTTCCTGTGTAGATTTTTCATCGCTGAATACTCAGAAACATACGGAATATTCCGACAATGTCGTCGAGATTGGAAGCGACTTAATCAAGGACATCGAATGCTTGTGCGGAGGACAGGCCTACAATGAGTCAATGTTCGACGTAGTCAACGAGGGGTTTATCCAACTTCTCGAGAACATCAATCAGATGGGTACATCGGGACAGACATTCTTTTCGATGCTGAAGTACGTAAAAGATTACCGACCTAAGATTGTTATTCTCGAGAATGTCATGGGAGCTCCCTGGAAGCAGACTTCGGAACTTTGGTTTCCCTTTATCGGATATAAGGCCGTCTTCGTCAAGGGCGACGCAAAAGACTATTACATCCCTCAAACTCGGTTCCGCAACTATCTTCTTGCTGTTGACAAAGAGTTGTTCGGGGACGAGGCTGCTGACGAGGTAACCAACCTATGGTATGACTTGATGAAGAGTCTTGTTAGGCGTGCATCTACGCCCGTGAATTCATGGTTGTTACCTCCAACTCATCCATTAACTGAGCGGGCCCGCCAAGACGATTCGGAAAAAGCACTCAATCCAACATACGATGCCGAATGGGAGCGAAGCAAAGCTCGTGCTATACTTGTTCGCCAAAAGGAAGCACTTGGCGATTCTCATCCATTGACAGATTGGAGTTTAACCCGGCTCGGTCAACCCTATGACCGCATGGATCGGCTTATGATTTTGACACAATCGAAGCGTGTCCTAGATTGTATTGACATAAATCATTTACGAGCATTAAAGGCTGGATATGACTCGAGGTTCAAGAATCGTATCCATGATCTCAGTCAAAACATAGACCGAACCAATATCAACACCCCGTTCGGCGTAACGGGTTGCATTACGCCTGCAGGTATACATTGGGTAACGGACCAGTGCAGAATTCTCTCTGGTTATGAGATGTTGGGCTTACAGGGTCTACCGCTCCATCGACTCCAATTTGGAACTGAGATTCAGCAGGAGTTGCGAGATCTTGCTGGCAATGCAATGACCACGACAGTAGTTGGTTCTGCTCTCGTGGCTGCCTTGAGAGCGATTCGAGGAAGTTCCTTAGGTCTGAATAGGGTCTTTCCTAAGCCGTCAAAGGTGACCTAGGAGATCATCAATCGGCACGTTACAGACTCTAAATTGCGAGCACTCCCAGACCTTAACACGACCACTGTCAAACCATTCGAGACGTTGTCTTTAGCAGAATTCGTTAAGAGATGCAGGAAGTACTGCTTTTGCAATAGATCGGCAAAGTATAGTACGGACGACTTCTTGGAGTGCACGACATGTTCCATTATTCGCTGCAAGTGGTGCGCTAGAAACCCGCCACATAGCTTCCGCCCCATCAAGCGACCCTCAAGCTTCTTACTGCTAGTGGAAGTAGAGCAAGAAGTCATGCAATTTCTACCGAGCACACTTGTAGATCTGGTTTCCGCAGAGTTCCAGACCGATCTTTCTCCCAAGTCGACAATTATTGGTCACGCTTCTATAATGAACCATTTGAAAAGCACAACTTTCTACTTCAAGAGCACCCACGTCACCGAAGTGGTAACCGTCTGCTATGGTGATGATGCTGGTTTTGAGATTAGAGCCGTCTTTTCAGAGGAGGAAATTACTTGGTACTTGTACCTCGATGCGTAGAGTGCATATGGGGAAGAGTTTCGAAAGCAGTTCAGTTTAGATCATGTTCGGCTAGAACATCCTGTCGCAAAGGCCACGATCAAAGAAGGCGCTCTCAACATCCTTCCCAAGCCTGATGCCTGGAAGTTCTGGTGCTTCCAACGAGAACCGCTCCGAGTAGAGATCAACAAGACAGACAGTATCCTACAAGTCGTCAAGATTCATGTGGACAGCCCTTCCTTGGTTGAGATGGGGTTGCCTGGTGACTTAGATGCAGCCTGCGGTAACTTCTACCACAAGCCAGGCTGCGAGGCTCCGGAAGATAGTCTCCACGCTCTCGACGGGAAGAGACTATTCCTCTTCAAAGAATCTGCTCGAACTAGAACACCTGAACACGATTGTTATATCATTTCAGGAGAATGCCGTATGCTGGAGACTTATGAATACAGGCAGGTCCTACTTAGGTTTAAGGCTGGTATGGATCTCCAGAAGTTGAAATTAGGTACAAGAACTCTTGATGCCCGAGTGGATGGATTTTGGGTCAGTCCCCAGATCATCAGCCACGACCTTCCCTCCGCGACGGCAAATCACAAACACCTAGAAATTTTCAAGGTTCCCGATTCGAAACATTTCGCCCTTTGCAACGAAGACCTTGATCAACAGGTTCTGGCTGAAGCATTATTCACGAGAGATAGACATTGCGATAATTATGGGATCATTCGTAAATATGAGCATGTCACGCACACTACGGGACAATGGGTTACTGTAGGGAAAGTCGATACCCCTCTGTTTTATGAGTTCGTTTCATATATCAATGTGAAACTCGCCAGCCTTGAATGCCTCGAGGTCAACTTTGAGATGGCGGATATTGACTCTTGGGTGGAAGAGCTTAGAGATTGGAGGTCCAAAACTGATGTTCGGGATTCTCCATTCGGACAGCTACCACGAGCACAATGGCTCAAAGTTGACAAGGAACAAGGTCTGAAATGGGTTCAACATCGCAATTCCGATGCTATGGCAGCACTTGAAAGCCACATAAAGAACCAAGTTCCCCCCTTTGAAGTAAGGGTAAAGGTTCACCCCTCCCTGCCAGAAGGCCTACGGCTAGAACATATAAGCGGGCCAGTGTATGAGGGTCAATTTGTGACCTTGGTTCAATATCTGGTAAATCCTAAGGTCCTTGTATACCAAGCAGCAGCATACTTACCACCAACCACGAACGCAGACGCTAAAGTAACTGCCTATGTCCAGTTCGAGCGCAATGCCATTCTACACGAAAATATGCAAGTACGTTCCGACGGTTCTGCAAAGCATAGCTTCGTGCCCTTCCGGAAGTCCTTAAAGACCTTAGAAGGGTTTCAGCCCCCCCAAGTTATTTCGGATCAAATACGTACGAGAATGGGGACATTCAAAGAAAGACTGAGCAGGTTCCAGTCGAGGTCTCTTAGTTGGACGCTTTGGCGCGAGTTGCATGAGCCGGAGTTCACGGAGAGAGAGATCGAAGAGGAAGGCGTTCCGGACCTCAAATTGAGACTTGTTGGCCGTGTTGAGCGCAAGGCTTTTCACCATGGTGGTATACTTGCGGACCACGTTGGCTACGGAAAAACTGTTGTTATGCTGTCACTGATGCATTGCCAAGAGGCTTTCGACAAAAAGCAGTCTATGCAGCTGCGGGATGCTCAGAACCCGCACCGTATACATCTTAAGGCCACTCTTGTGCTGGTACCTTCGCATCTAGTTAGTCAGTGGGCTAAGGAAGCGAAACGTTTTCTCCCTATCACTACTAAGGAAGTAGTCGTCATAAGAAAGCTCGGAGATCTAGTGGACTACCAAGACTTGAGCACTCTCAAAAGGTTACAAAATGCGAGGCTGATCATTATGAATCTTGACTGCCTTTCAGACATTTTGTACTACAAAAACCTTGCTAAGCTTGCAGGGTCTCTTGATCCGCCCACTCATGAAATCAAGGAAAATCAACCTCATATTAAGGGCAATCAATACCAGCGTCGCCCTTTTGAAGAGTGGTATGCAGACTCTGCGCCTGCAGCTGGGGACCACGGTGGGAAGTTATTGAAGATAGGCCTAGCAGGATGGTCTAGCGAATTGCTCGAGGAGCTACACCGCGAAATCGAGGGCCGCCGTGAGGCGGTCAAAAACGTATATCGAGAATTTTCGGAGAACTATCAACATTCGGTTACAACTGATATGGTAGCAAAACAACCAGGATCCGCCAAGAAAGGACGAGGCTCCTCAAAGAATTTTAAGCATTCAGTCAAAAGCTCAACTATACCGGAAGAGCCGAGTGCGTCCGACACATTTCCCTCGTCATCGAAGCTGACTCCGACAGCCAAGAGCAAGTCTACGAGCAAGTCTGCAAGCAAGTCTACGGTCGACTCTACGGTCGACTCTACGGCCGACTCCAAGGACAAAAAGAAAATTTGCTTGCCAGATAAGTTTAGGCATGCATTGGAAGCTTTTACCTTTGCGCGGATAGTGTATGACGAATTTTCCTACGAAGGGTTTTTTTCGACCCTTGTCATCTCTAATTTGCAAGCCCGTTCGAAATGGATCCTTTCAGCGACGCCACCGACAAAAGACTTAGCAGCTATATGCTACACTGCTAAACACTTAAACGTACATGTAGCAAGACCAATCCGCTGCCGGCAGGGAATGCCTCGGATCACCAACGGCCCTGTATTGGAGGATAGGAGCAATGCGGAAGAGATGCGTATCCCCAATTTCGTGTCGGATCAGACTATTCGGGAGAGACATCAACAGGGGATGGAGTTTCTGGAGCATTTTGCCACCTCTAATCCCCTCGACCAAGATCTCTCTGGTGGTGTCGAGGTTGAAGAAAAGGTTGTGGTATGCGAGATGGGCCAGTACGAATTCATTCTTTACCACGATATTGAACAAGATTTGCGGGCTCATAACTTCGATGCGAATCTTCTGTCGAGAGAATCCCGTTATCTATTGCACCCACTGATCGATGGTGAATGGGGTGCCGACGGGAAGCAAGTCAGTACCGCGGCGTTGATCCACCGCTCCTCTCACGGAAACTGGCTTAGGTCGGACTATTCGACGGAATTACTCATGGCTCAGCGGACTGCTACGAAACTCACCTCCCTTCGTATTTTCAAAAGTGTAGCCGAGAAAGCCATCTGGCTCTCCAAGCGCATTTGGGGTGAAGAGAATGAGGTGAAATACGTCAATGGCAGAAATGCTACCACAGATATCTACATCCTTCTTAAAGATATCTGGGGGAGAAACTTAGCCAGCTGTGGTGGATATGATGCCTGGAAACAGTTGTCAGGCGAAATCATTACCAAGCAGGGTAGGGGGTTTGATCAGATATTCGAGGATGTCACAAAGGACCATCCAGGCTTCCTCCTAAACGAAGAGAACTTTTTTAATGCTCTCAGCACGTTGACCTCAAAGACATGGATCGATTTTTACGAGTTGACAGATGAGGATCTCGACAGCATTACCGAACAAGAAGCCGACGCTCTGAGAGAGGACTTAGTTCGTGCCCGCGAGGATAAGGCTATGGACCTAAGAAACGGCGGTGGGTGGTCCATCTTACAAGAGATTGCCACCGGGGACCAGGTTCAGTATAGGCAGCCTAAGGAGAAGATGAGCGGCCAAGTAGTGGCCGTTACTCCTGAACAATTAAAAGACAAAGTCAGCAAAGGTTACCTTCAAGGTTTATGTCGTGCCTTAGGCATCGCATTCAAGACTGGTGACTCAGTAGCTACTCTGAAGGGTCGCCTAGATGCCGCTTCGAAAGGAGAGCTTGATGAATCCGACTTCGTCGACTGCATGAAATGCAGCGCAATGAAGCAACAGAGGTTCCCTCTATTCAACAAAACTACCAAGATTCGAGGTGGGAAGTACACGTTCACTGGGAACGATGTGAGCAACTCTGCGATTGAGCTGCGTAAGGCTTTTGGAAATGCCGTCAATGCTATCAATCAAGAACGAATCACCAAGAATCTCAAGTCGACTAACGAGGAACTCAAATGCGATCGTTGCGAAGAGACTGTGCCTAGAGAAACCCTGCACATGGTTTGCGAATGCGGTCACCTACTTTGCAAAAAGCATCTCGACTCGGACTATTGTGGCGAAGAGGATGGAAAGTTTTGCCCATCGTCACTCAAAGGCCCAACTATGTCGTTGGAGAAAATCAATATCCCTCAGCGACGTCTCGACCTCGGTGCTGCCACGAATGAGATTGCCCTGTTTCCTAAGATTAGCTCGAAGTTCCAAATGCTAGTGAACACAGTAAGATCGATACCGGATGATGAATATGGTCTCGTATTTTTTCAATACCCCAGCCAACTCGAAGAGCTCCAGTACGTCCTAAGGAAAAACGGAATTGGTTTTGTGTACGTAGCGCCCACCACAAAGGCTCTAAGTAATTCCGATGAGCGAAGGGGATCAGAATTCGCTTCTATCAATAATCTAGGCTCAAAGGGTGTGTCTGAGCTTCGAGTGCTATGCGAGGAACGTGGAATTAAATGGTCGGAAGAGGAAGAGGCTGCCGACTTAAGCAAGAGGCTTCAGTACTGGATAAATAAGTTTGGAAAAACCGTAAAGCATCCTAAGCTTCGACTATTGCAAATTGACGACGTCTCGTCTGCGGGCTCGAACTTCCAATATGCCAACCACGTTATGTTCGTCGCACCCTTTGTGGTAGGCCTACAGGAGAAGTACGACGCTTGCATGCTGCAAGCGAAGGGCAGATGCGTCCGTTATGGACAGAAGAAGAAGGTCCAGGTCTACCATTTCGTCACAGCCAACACGATAGAGGTCGACATATTGGAGCTGCGAACACAGAGTCATATCCTTGTTCGCCCTGGAAAGGCCATCGGAAGACTTCAACCCGCCCCCGTAGCGGAGATGAAGATGAAGGAGTATGATGATGCCGCCTGCGTTGACGAAGATACCGTTATGTTTGACGCGACTGAGGGTTCCAAGCCCGACAACGGTGATCCTGACATCCAAATGCAGGATGCTCCAGAAGCCACCCCCGACGACCCGGATAAAGAAGAGAGAGTCACATCGAACCTTAGTTCCGAGGACGTCTGGAAAGCTATGAATGAGCTGGATTGGTTGACCACGATGGGCATTGAGTACTAATTTTCGGCGGCTAAGAAAGGGTAAGTCTGAACTGTTCCTAAACTCCATATCAGACTCGTCAGGTAGTGTCAGTCGAACTAACTAGAGACTTAGGAGAAGGAATCAGTCAAGAATAGCCAGAGATGCTATATAATACGGTTGCATTACGGATCACGAAAAGGTTGCGATGAGTTCACTTGTACGAGAGGCGGGTCATGAATAGCCAGAGAGGCTACATAATATGGTTGCGTTGCAGACCACGAAGAGTTTACGATGATTTCCTTGCGTGAGGCAGAGAGCACGAGCAAAAAAAGCAAAAAAAAAAAAAAAGCCAGCCAAGCACTACTTGCTGTTGCAGCTATGAGCAAGCATCGATTTTCCTTACTATTCTTCTTTTCCTTCGTTGACACTGTCTCCAACGCCACGAATACTGCGACGCCGAACCGACAAGAGGGACATCATCACGATCGCACGTACAGGCGGTTTATGGAGGACTTTACAGTTGTTTTTTTTTGTTTTTGTTAATGAATCCGGGAATAGCCCCTTTCTTTTTAATTAGTGATCAGATTGTTGAGTTTCGCAATTGATTTTCGTATTTCCTAAGATGAAATCGCTCAGAGCGCGTGCTTTGGTTTCTTTAATATGCTTCGTAGATGAGAAATACCTCTAAAATAGGGGCGTTTAAGTTTTTTGCCCCTGAGAGACTGGTAGGGGTAGTGATAAATGGGTTTAAGTACCTGAATCAAAGTAAAATTGTATGGATGATGAGTTGCTTTTAAAACTAAGGCATCCTTTTCGTAGATGATTCTTCAAGACTCCGTTTGAATATCCGTAAAGACTAGCAGCTAATCTTAGGATAGGTAGTGATTGTTCTCTTTGTAAGCAATTAGGTGGTGAAAGCAGGCTTGCCTTAAGCTTCCATCATCTTCTTCCCCCTCCATCCACTAACCACTGCCCAGAACACTCTACACTCTACACTCTACACAATCCTACAATCCTACAACTTCGAAGCCCCATGTCCCCGCCTTCCCTGCCCCGCCACACGAACCTTTATCTTCGAACCACTATCCTCCTGTCCTCCTTCTCCTTCTCCTTCTCCTCCTCCCTTTCCCCCCTCAAGAGCGACCTCCTGACAATCCTCCACCGGCTCGTCGTTCGCAAACTGCACGACGACGAACTCGACCGCCGAGCCGGGGGGCCCCAGCGCCGCCATCGGCGCGTGCCACGTCCCCGCGCCGTACGTCACGGCCTGCGAGCCCGTGGCCAGGAACGCGCGGACGCGCCGCAGGTCCGGCATGCCCCGGCCGGGGAGTTTCTGCCGAGACCCATCTCCGTCTCCGTCTCCGTCTTCGGGAGCAGGGAAGGCCGTGTCCGCGCTGCTGGGCGGCAGGGTCGGCGCTACGACGACGAGATACTGCACCGGTGCAGGTGGTGATGATGATGATGATGGAGAGGAAGAAGAGCTGAGAGGCACAAAGGTCTGCGTGGTGAAGGGGTGCCGCTCGAGGACGTGCACGGTGAACAGACCCCTACTCCTGCTCCTGCTCTTGCTCCTACCACCATTTCCCCCCTCGCCCTCGCCCTCTCCGTCCGGCTCCGGCTCCAGCTCCCGCGCCCCGCACACGAACATCGTAGTCCGCGGCGACGCCCTCCTCCCGCTCGGCGCCTGGGCGTACAAGTCCCGCAAGGGGGGCGCCAGGCCCCGGTACTGGATGGCGGTGCCTTGGTTGGCGGAGACGGCGCCGAAGCCTTGGGGGAGAAGAGAAGACGAAGACGAATAAGATGAAGAAGAGGATGCGGCTGCGGCGGAGGGATGGAGTTCGGGGGCCGGGTTAGTTAGGACGGAGCCGAAGGGGGCGAAGGCGCTGGGGGTTAGGGGCTCAGTTGGGATCGTGAGGGGGGTGGGGAGGGGGAGGGTGCGGATGAGCATTTTGGTTTTTTGGGGGTTAATTAGAATGAATTACTATTATTTTTATTATTATCTCTTTATTTTTTTGTAGGGGGCTATGTATTTGCTAAGAAGGGGAGGGGAGGGGAGGTGAGGTGAGGAAGCATGTGAAAGGTACCTCCTAAGGTATGATATGATATGACATGATATAGGGACTCGACTCGAGATTAGAAGCGGTAGCAGGGGTATTAGTGCTAGGATTAGTGCTAGGACGAGTGAAAGGTTCAATGCTAAGATGGAAATTGTTAGTACTTTAGCCTGTAATACACTAATTATTATATCACCTTTTAACAATTACGAGAAATTGGCTGATCAAGTGGGTCTATATGCTATCCAATGAAGAGCCACAGTCACCAGGGTCACCTTCGGTGTTAACGGTGTTGACGTTTGCCTCCGGGCTACAGCCGCATCGTTTTTTTCTTTCTTTCTTTCCTTTTTTTTTCCCCCTCAAACAAGTTTGTTTGTCGCTCGTTATTCGTTCCCCTGTAGCGTTCTTCTTGCTTACGCGCGTTGAGTCCATTTCTGATGCCCTGTCCTCGTCCTCATCCTCGTGAGTTTTTCGTCTCCATGTCACAAAACGCTAAGACTAACAAGGATTTAGGCTGTGATTGCGTTCATTAAGTAGTGGAATTGAGTTTGTGTCAAAAGAAGAAAAAAGAAAAAAGAAAAAAAAAAATCAAATGGCAAATGAGCCAAGGTCATATCTATGTGGTTTATTCTGCTCTAGACCAAGACGGGCTGCGAGGCCGACCGGCGAGAATGGATTGCAAGGAGTCGAATTCTCCCCAAGGTCATCTATTGCGAGTTCGGTGGCTCCTGTAGCCGTCGCATCCTCATCTTCCACGCAGCCGCATCGTCCCGCAGCCGCCCTCAATAACCCGGAACTGGCTGGATACTACTCGCCTCCAGCATCCCAGGTCATGTCGCTACCAAACCCGGCTCAGGAATTAAGGGGTTACTACGCTCCTGAGCCGGCGCCTATCCCGCGGCCGAGGGTACATCCTACGAAGGTTGCTTATTCGTGAAGTTATGGGCATTTCGCCATCTTGCTTAGACATACAATTATCATACCCCTATCTACATATTAATCCTATCTTGCGTCAAGAGAAAACCTCTAGGAGTTGTTCATCTATGCAGCTAAAAATCTATTCGACTTTAAATAGAATTAGTTCCCGTGCAGGATTTAAATGCGCTGCGTGGGAACTATAAATATGGCTTTCTCATGACGAGATCAAGGTAAAACCTCTTGGTAGATGGAAACATGGGAGTCTACCTACCTGGTACATTTTACATTTACACATGTGGTAAGTTCAGCGGCTGTGCTCGTTGTTTTATTTGTTTGCTCTAGCTACCTCTTGAAACCAGGAGGCAAAGTATTAGTTGGGTACCTTCGGTAGGCACACTTGATGATAATAAGGCCCAAGGGTATGAAGAACCCAATGTCTAACCACAAGTACTCGATTATCAGTCTATTTCATTTGATAGATCTTTCTCCTTATAGCTCGTGCTTCTGCTACGTAGCTGCGAGCATGCGTAGGTACATAAGGTAGTTGAGCCAGTAAAGTCGACGTTTCAATATCCACACTACCTACTCAGAATCATATTTTCATCCCATGGGTACTATAAGAGGTACCTAGGTAGCCCTAGTAAGTATATTTCGCCTCGGTGTAAGGTAGATATAGCGTCTGGGGGGTACTGTTATTAAGTAGTGTGTATCTCTCGCTTGTCTGTATCACGGATCACTTTTCCAAGATTTTATTTTCTAGATAGATATCTGCACTTGCGTTGGCGTGATGCATCTCACAAGCGCAAATCAAGACCCTACGCAATACTCCGACGACGGGGTTGATAATGCCGAAAATGAGGCGGCCGCACAGGAGCCTAACAGTGCCAACGATTCAACTCCTGAGAACGTTGTTACCTCTACGCGTCTTAATCCAAGGCACAGTCACACTGTAGCGGCCGAGGACGAATCAGACCAGCTAGCCGAAAACACCGCAGTTCCTCCTATGCCAAATGCAGAGGTCAATATCACAGTACTCTCTGGACAAGAAGACAATGTTCAGGTAGACATTGAATTGCAGCAAACAGAAACTAACGCGCCTACACCTGCTTCTACTGGTTCGCCAAGTTCATCTGCTAGCGATTTGTCCTCTACCACACTAGTGAATAGCGAGGACTCGTATCAATTATCTACTGGCGCGTCCATTGCCGTTTCTCCCGACATCGCGTCCGATTCCGCTGGATCGGAAATCAATTCATTTGGACGTGCGCCAATATCCGCACAATCTTCTACCACCTCGGGTTCTGCCGACACTCCCACAGCATATGCAGCGACCGCGGGCTCTTGCGCGTCAGTATTCTATTCTCGTTTTGCGGTCCCTCACAGCATGAGCGGCCGTTCCGCATCCGTGAATGGTGCAGCGAAAACGGGATCTGTAAAATTTTCAAATGTGGCCGCCGTTCAGCATCCGGACGGAACCACATCTCAGCAGCCTGCGAATTTGCCTGCGCCTTCTACCCCTTCTTCGACCCCGATGTCAGAACCGATCCAACTGCAACCCGACGCGGCGGGCGGTTCGCCGCCCTCTGGTGGACCGCCGCCGCCGCCGCCTCTTGTGGTGCCAGCCGCGGCAGCGCCAGATCCGAACCCGAACAATGCTTTTCCACCAGTTGCTCCTCCCTTCGGCCTTCCTGTCGCTACTCCAGTGCAGCCCGTAGGTATCGTGTATCCCGTACCGAATCCTCCTCACCTCGCACCAAACATCATCCCTCCGGTTGGACCAGGCTCTGGCCCCGCCATACCTAACTTCGGCGGTGGTCCTCCTGTCGTTATTCTAAATAAGTGAGCGCTTCCTTACTCAAGAAGACCCCTCCATACAAAATAAAGCTTAACTGATTTACAAATAGTGCCCCTGCTCCCGCTCCTCCCCCGATCAATCCCCAACAGCAGCAGCAGCAACCTTATCTCTGGTTTAACCCGCCGCTGGTAGCTCCTTCAGTGCCCCCTCCGCCGCCCGGTACTCAGGGCTCATGGTGTAAGCCTCCCGCCCTTCCAAAAAAAAAACTCTCTCCATAGCAGCACATCTCCGCAGTACCTAGAGATCACGCTAACAGTCACATAGGCTACCCCAGCCCATCTCCCTTCTGGGCCGGCGCATCGGCCAACCAGATAAACCCGCCTCCGCAGTTCTACACAGCGGGACAGGCTTACGTAGCAGAGCCTGCCTACATCGTGGGCGCAGCACCGCAGCAGCAGGAGCAGCAGCAGCAGCCGCCGCCGCCCCCACCGCCGGCGGGCCGTCCTCCGCCCACTCCTCAGATCCCGCAGGTACAGTATTATGTTAACGGAACGACGGGACCGTGCGTATACTACATGCAATAGACAATGATGGTTGTCTAGCGCGATAAGGATGGTGTCGATTGGACGCTATGGATGGAAAGCGGAAAAGGAAGAGCAATTAGGGACGGGTATACCCAAAGGCGCGGAATAGGACTGCCGCTATAGACAAGGGAGTGATGTGCGATGCGATGGTTTGCTTGAAACGAATAGAAGTTCGTAAGTAGAACGATAATAATGTGTCACTATTACCGCAAGGTATATATCGCTTTAAGTGAGAGACCGTAATATATATTATTTGCACCCTAAACTGGACCGAACATAAGCTGTTACTTATCCTTCTCTCCACCCCCCTTTTTTGTTTCTCGTTGTTAATATGAGAGAGCGAACGATTTTGCCCAGCATTTAATGGCTTCAACCTTCAAAATACTATATTTCCTAACTGGAATGCTGCCGTAATAGCTCGCATGATTTGCTCATTCTGATTAATCTCATGGTGGGTTGACCTAGTAGATCAGGGTAAAAGAATAGGGGTTAAAATAGGGGTAAGATGCACAGTATGTTCTATTCCAAACAACACTGTACCACGACGCTCAAATACCTAACCCGACTTCTAAAGCCTTTAGCTCTGCAGCCGGGACGTTCTTCCACGACAGATGCGTCGGCAAGATAGGTGGCGGGTTCAACCCCAGCACGCCGCACGAGATCTCGTCGTCCTTACGGTAGACGTAGCAAGACATGTTGTAGAACCTGCTCCCGTAGCCTGTGAAGATGATCCTGTATTTGATATGTCAGTGCTTATTAGCACACGTACCTTACGTTAGATACTTAGTTTCCCTACAATTCCAGACAATCGCCTTTCCGGAAACACCAAACTAAGCCAAGAAAGAAACGCGTAACTTACGGGTGTTCAGGGTCCTTATCATCACAAAACCACGTGTGATTTATCGCCATATACCCCGTCGCGAGATCAACCTGCCACATGCACTCGAGGGACTGGCGGTCCCACGCATTCGACGACCGCACCCCATTTATGTAATCCTTGCACTCGTACCAGCGCGCCGGGCGGCTCGTCGGCAGGTAGGGCGTCGTGTCGAGACCCTCGTACTCGACGGCCTGGTACCCGTCGATGGCCATGAACTGGATCCCGAAGCGCACGTTGGTCCCGAACGTCCGCGCGGACGTCGGCCCCGCGTACACCGCGTCCGACGTGAACCCCGCGCGCCACTGCGTCGCGAGCACGGACGCGATCGTGCAGCTGTACCCCGAGGGCGGGAGCTCGAAGAACGCCGTCGGCGGGAGCTCGCTGCGCTCCGTCACGGCGCCGCGCACGGCCAGCGGGAGCTGCGTCTGTCGGCAGGTCTTGACGAACACGCCGGCCGAGGTGTCGTTGGTCCACGCGCACGCCAGGCTGGTTTCCGCGTCGCCGACGGCGCGGAACCTAGCGGGGGGCTTGCCGTGGTGGCCGTTGCACTGCCAGCGCTGGTCGATGGCGAAGACGCCCGTGAGGGGGTTCAGGCGGATGGCGGACAGGATGCGGAAGTCGTCGAAGGGCGAGCGGGCGAGGGCGCAGCCCCACCAGCGGTCGTGACCGTAGCGCCCGTCGCGGTTGAGCTCCTCGCCGTCGCCCGTGCACGTGAGGCGGAACCCGGTCGCGGGGTTGAGAAAGGTCGCCGTCAGGTTCCCCGTGCCGAAGCCGCCGCGCCATATCTCGTTCCACTCCCATGAGGTGACGGTCCACGTCGGCGTCTCGGAGGTCTCGAGGCAGCCCGGGTGGTTGACGCCTTCGGGGGCGACGTTCGGGGTTAGCTCGATCGGCTCGGTTAGTGATCCCTTGATGTAAGTTGATTTATCGGATTCGATGTCGATGGGTGCGGTTCCAATGGCTCGGAAGGTCACGCTGGGACAGGCAAGTCAGTCATTTCAAATATTTCCATAGCGATCAACTTGGCGTACTCTTTTGGATACTTCTCCCCTCCGTTGCATACCCACGTCTGGTTAATCGAGAGCTCCTTCGTCTCCTCGGAAAACCGTACTTCCGTCGAAGTGCTATCGCAAGCGGACCACTTTCTACCTTTAGCAGCGCATGTCACAGACTGGTTATTAGCATGGTTGCTCAAGCGGAAACTCCAAGTCGTCCCATCATCGCCTTCCTCGCGAGTCATGTTCTGCACATCCCAGTCCGGATAACTGAAAGAAGTACCGATGCAAGGAGTTTCGTTCCACGGCGTGCCCAGGACTTCCTCTTCAGATGGTGGAATTATCTTCACGGAATCGGAGTTCCAGACCGGGGTTACGTAGTCCCCGTCGAATGACGATATCTTCTCGTCCGCGACTACGCATCTTGTCTGTGTAGGATCTTCCACACACTTCAAGAGTCCGGTAAGTTGAGTCTTCGCGGATGAGAAGTAAGATAGACTAGGTAGTTATCGAATGGATTAGTTCTCGGTTGCATTAAACCCCCCAAAACTCATAAAGGGGGGTGCCTATACTATGAAAACCTACGGATGAGTCTTATTTTCGACCTCGCATATCCACATCTGGCTGATCTCAACTTCGCTAGCGGCAGCTTTATACTTGAATATGGTCTTCGGCGATACCGCATTTTTATCGCCTTCACAATTATTCCACATCGGCTTGTTCGGGTCTTGTAGATAAGGGGTCGTACACGAAGTCGTTTCGTTATTCGCAACATCGTGTAACAGGAAGTGTGCCATGCTCCTATGACCCGCTTCTGTGGTCGTCTTGTTGAACTGGAAGGCGGAGAGCTTATAGGTGGGCTTCTTGAACCCCTTTTTGCAGGGGCTTGCGATTACATACGTGCCGTTTTGACTCTGCCAGGCGCTCCTCGCTTGATGTAAATTCGCAAACGCTCTAAGTTGCGCATTTGAAAGCTGAGGCAGTTTTGGCCCTCCTCTAAGATGAGCTTAGTGAATTAGATTTGATAAGTGCTGGTAGGAGGTATGTAGTCCGGGGGGTTATCGTACGGTTGAATATCAGAGCCTCCATGGTCACTACGGGCTGGTATGACCAATTGTAACGCAATCAGACCGACTAGAAGTAAAAAATTCATTTTTACCCCTTCCAAATAGTTTGTGGCTATACTTACGTCTGAGGATAATCTGATTGACTATTTGTCCCTAAGTTCTGGTATACCACTGCATAACCTTAAGAGGTCGGTCCAGGGCCAGATTATATATACTAAGTAAGGAATGTAAGTATCTGTTTCTAGGACGCTGCTATCGCTTCCATATATATTGCTAGACATGTAAGGTGTTTATCAGAGTCTGCGATAATACTACGGTAGTATATAGCCGACATGCGAGAGGGTAGTATCCTAAGAAGTCAATACTATGAAGTTTAGTAGATCAAGCTATGGTCAGCAGGCTGAATTATGAGTGATCTGATTAAAATTCGTATTCCATTAATTAGCCAACTTTCAGAGAAGGCGACCTTTCCTATGATTAGTTTGATCCAAATTGGGATGAGTGTTCTTTTAGGAGAGATTCCCAAATCATATGCCAATACCTATCTTGCTATTGATTGCAAGCAGTTATGAATATAACCATAAGTAATGTTCTTCTGCTTGCGCTTGAATACACCTCCGCCAGGATCTTATTTGTCTAGCGTCTCCACCGTTCCATACTTTGGTCTTTCAAGTAACTTATAAGGTAATTTCTATGTAAAAATACGTTGTAAATTCAAGATGTCTTTCTTCGCACAAGCCACAAGACTGAAGATTCTAGATTAGCAAGTATAATCCAGGGAATTTCCCATATAAAACCCCCTAGTAACTACTTGCGGAATATGTATGGGCAGATGGGGCAATGGAGACGCTAGATAAGTAAGATCCTGGCGGAGGTGTATTATTGGCAACTGTTGTTGTCTCTTCAGCTGTTGCCAGTTGAAATTGGGGTGAGTAAGTCCGTGCACTGTCTCCAAGGATCCACAGCTGTTGACATCAGCTAGCTGTAGGTATCCGTGTGATGCTCAACAAGACCCGCACATGGTGCCCTCGTGTATACCTAGGTACATCCAAGCTCTAATAAGATCGTTTCCAGGCTGCCAGGTAGGTAAGCCCCTCGAGCATTGGAGTTGCCTCGTCTTTTTTTTTATCTTGACCAGGCACTAAGTAGCCACCATGTTATCAGGTACCGCTAACGACCCTTCAATCTTAAACTTTGGGAAAGTTCTCACCCTTTCTACACCTGAACACACGCGTCTTCAGCATGGCTGAGACAAAGCCCACAATCCTGATATTCTGCCGCGGACAGCTAGAAGGAGGCCTCAAAAAGATCAAAGAGAAGGCCGATGTTTACCAAGCCTCTTATTTGAAGCCTAATGCTCCGGAGAAGCTTCTAAGTGAGCATCCATCAGCTCGGGCCATCTGGATCGTTGACCCTGATATTACGGCCCCCAAGTACAGGTCTCTATCCAGCAAAGTTGTCGACTATGTCCGAAATGGAGGTATGGCCATCTTAGATTGCTTCTTTGCCACGGAAGTTACGCCTCCTGCTTTCAACAAGTGGATGGAAGAGGTGTGGGACCTGCCTTGGCGGTACGGCCAGTACGAAACAACGACGATTGTCTTCCAGAGCTCTGCTATCGGCCCTCGACAATTCTGGAGAGACGGGCTAGCCGCTGCGTATAGCCAGAAAGGGGTTTTTCTTAAGAACGTCGCTTCCGAAGACTCGTGGTATGCTTCGCCCCCGGGATCAACGAGCGAGTCTAGGGTGTTCGGACCTTCACCAGTCGAAGCTCAAACATCTATCGCATTCAAGAAGGTTGGCGAGGGCTGGTTGGGATGGACGGGCGACATTCACAACCGGGATGAGACTTCTGCTGCTGTGCGAGCAATGATGGGACTGAATATGAGGGAGAAGGTAGACTACTAGGTAAGTACGTACAGCTGACCGGGATTTTGCACCAAATGGTCTCGGGAAGATGGAGAAGTAGTTTCAGCCGAATATAAAGTTGTCGTGGACTGTCTTCTGGCATTCATCTCGGTATGCCAAAGGTAGCGATCGATGATCATCGTATATTACTAGTGTAATGTGCGCGATAATTTATAAGCTATTATAAAAGGACCCTTTTTACACAGTGAGGTAGGTAAAGTTAGAAATTGCAGGTTATAGGTTTTTGGGAAGAAAACAAAAGATGAAAAGGTCGATGTAATCGCGTCTGCTACACAACGTATACATAGTATCTGGTATGTACCACCGAATAGCCGCTCCTGTGGTACAACATACAACATGTATACTTGCAAGGAGAACCTGCTAATTATTAACATTAGGTAGATTGAAGCTTCCAAGCTTGTCGACGGTATTATGGGAGGACAATTAGGGTGTACTAGGTACTTGAATTTGGTATCTGGCCAATCAGACACTTAAACAACCGAAATGGATAACTTATTAGGAAACAACGACGAGGGGGAGATGTCGCTGCTTGAATACTTGAATAATTTGGTACTCACCTAGGTGCCTTCCATTTGTTAGATCATTGTGCTACCTTAACCTACATGTACCTACCTACCTCTAACTTACCTGTAACCCAAGGTACGCATGTCCAAAGCTACCTACCTAGGAGTTGCTAGGATACCTTACTCTTGCCTTAGGTAATGCAACCGCTACCATTGGTTAAAGCTCTATTAAACAAACTTCAACTCAAAACGAGGTAAGACTTCTTTTTCTAGGTTACTATATCAAAGGTGACCGGCATAGGTACCTAACATTGACATTGCAGAACCCCCGCTAATCCATCTAATGCAAGGGAGTGCCTAGAGTTGATGAAGAAATCAGTCAGAACCGCGCGCCAAGCAAGGCAAACCGTCGAGTCTAGTGATTGATTGCTTGCTTTCTCCACCGAAAGGAAGCAATAGAAGGGTATTTAAAGATCATGGTATCGAACTACCCTGCCGCGCGACTCGCGGTCCCAGATCCACGATCCAATGGAGTAATAAAAGGTTACCAGCAGCCGAACAATCGAGTTAATGGCCTTACCAATCCACTCTACACATATTCTATGCCAAATTCCAATGGTACTTTGGATGGAAGAGGCACTGGGGCATCATATCCCAAGATGCCGCGCCAGGATTTAGGCACGCGGAATTTTGCGGAAGGAAATTCAATATATCCACACGGAAACGCCAACGAGCAGCAAGATGATGGCATGCAACTACCTCCTTCCATGCCCGCTTCACATCCTAGAGACAGTCTACCAGTCTGGAAATGGAGAGCATTACTTGTGGCTAACTGTTTCTTAACCATAATGCATGGTAGGTTCCCTCTTCCATCGCTGTCCTCTCTATGCCCTGCTACTAGACTTCTCACCTACGAATCACTCAGGATACGATGTGAGCAATGTCGCCAATATTCAGGCATCCATCTACAAGGCCTTTGGGCATATCGAGCTACTCTCCTGGGTCGCGCTCGGCTATTCGGTTTGCAATGTCGCCTTGATTCCCCTGGGTCGTAAGCTTTTCAAGTTCGGAGACTTCAAGGCGCTGTGTCTACTGTCGATGATATTTATCATTGGAGGTTCCGCTCTCTCTGGTGCTGCTCCCAATATTCAGTGCATCATTGCTGGGCGTGCAGTAATGGCCCTGGGATCAAGCATCATATACCAAGGGTATGGTGCCATTTCCTGATAAGTTTTTGGTGATCATTTTCTGACTGTCCTAGAATTTTGAGTTTCAATATTATCTTTACCTATCCCCACGAACTTGGGCTTGTACAAGGCTCTATTGGTGCTTGCTTTGCTATAGGTCTAGTGCTCGGTCCACTTATAGGTTCGTCTCGTTTTGGTCCGATCTTTTAGCATGTGATATCTCATACGTATTCTAGGAGGCGCCTTTGCCAATAATAATCATGCTACATGGCGATGGGTAATTATATCTCCTTTACCTGCTATACGGCTAGGTAGGAAGGGCTAACACTGTTAGGCATTTTACTTAGTGATACCACTCTGTGTCATTAGCTTGGTCCTTCAAGCTCTTTTCTACCCCCGTTACAGCATGCCAACTAATAAGACAACATGGGCACACATCAAGGAGGTCGATTGGATAGGAAATTTACTACATATGGGAGTTTGCCTACTCTTCGCAATTGGCTGTACGTTTATCGGATCCACGGGTACCTGGGGCATCAACTCGAGTATAGCTACCTGGATTATTTTCACGTTCTGTGTAATCACATATGTTCTACAGCAGGCATATAATCTCGGTACGACATCCGAGAACCGTTTGCTGTCTTCTGGCTCACTTCTCCACAACCGAACTGTCCTGCTTACTTGGATCTGCACGTTTTGCGCCGCGGCATCGTATGGTGCTACATTATACTACGTACCCATATACTTCGCCTTTGGACACGGCCTAGATCCATTCGCGGCGGCAACCCGACTACTACCCTTCATTTGTGTTTTCATAGTTACTATCATTCTATGCGGCAGCCTACTACCGGCCCTTAGATTCTACAAGGCCTTCTTCGTCCTCGGCTCTATCCTCATTCTAGTCGGCGGGGGTTTATTCCAGATGTTAAGCACTGATTTGTCTGAGTCAGCAGTCATGGGCTTCGAGAGTATCGTCGCCGCTGGACTTGGTATCCTGTGGCAGCTAGGAGTGCCGGTGTGCACAACCTTCCTACCTGACACCGACGACCGTTTAGACCTTGCTTTACTTAGCAACATGGCACAATTGAGTGGTATCGCAGCCTCGCTTTCCATCGCTGGGATGATCTACCAGAGCACGGGCTTCCAGTCGCTGAAGGATTCCGTTGGAGGTATGGGTTTCTCGGACGAAAGTATTCGCGAGTTACTCTCGGGCGTTGATTCGCCAATCCTGAAACATGTTGACCCCAAAGTGCTACGATTGGCCGTGAAATCCATTACCAACTCCATCAAGACATGTTTCGTTGTTCTTCTTGCTGCGGGTGCTTTATCAGTTCTCGCCGCCTGCAGCATGAAGTGGGAATCGCTCGGATTCGTCCAACATATGAGGAGACAACGTATGGGACAAACAGGAAGTACCCAACTTCGTCATCAAGTATCTGACGGAGAATTTTTACTAGATGACCTGAACGTTCGAGGCGAGGCTGTAGGCAGCACGTTAAATCCGCCAGTCCCACTACATATTCGCGATAAGAGATAACTAGCACCCTGTTCCTAAGTCGAGTACGGACGGTGCCGCAAACTCGTTATACTTCATCTGTATATTATACTCGTCTAGGTATATGCGGAGAGACGGAACTACTGGGGGACCATCCGAGATTCTTCAACTTATCGTAATTGCTTACTGTGGACGGTCTGTTACATCTGAAAAGTTTAAGCTTGTATTAACACACAAATCAATACTCTATTTTACCCCTAATTACCCCTAATTTACAACTTTTCATTCTGTGTGTGTGCTTAACATATCCGCTCTAGGAGTTACACGGCCTTTTCTCATCTGATCTGCTGCATAGGTAAACCCTGAGAATCACCAACCCTAATCTAGTATATACACAACCAATCAGCAGACACATCTTTCCACGATATGTATCCATCTCTAATCATCTCTAATTATAGTATTACAACAATTAGTCAATGCGTCGCAAAGTCTATCCGATCTATTCCATTGGGATCGAGGCGCCATCCACCCAGCTAGAAGATGTAAGCCGCTTCTCTAGAATCAAGCCTTTATACTGGTAATAACAGCGTCTCATATCCGTCTGCGGCGCTAGGTTTGACTGCGTAGGCTGGTCGCCGATCTGTTCAGTCAAGCATGCAATATCTGTGCCGGCGTCCGCGTCACCCACTTCCTGTGGGCCGTGCCATGAATTGTCGTCTTCTTGCCATACTGATTGGATCTTATTATTCTCATCTTGGTACAGAATCCATGTATTCGTCGTGTTTGTGCCTTCCCGCGCAATTGCCATCGCCGCAATAGACGTTCCTGGGGGGATTGTGACGCCGGGCGATCCTATATGACTGTTAGTATATAAAGCTACTAAGTCTAAGGACCGAAGCAGTCTTACATACCGAAATACCAAGCTACTCCCGTGTCAACACCGCCGAATGGGAATATAGACAAGCGACCGTTTGGATCGCGGTATGCGAGACCCGCTGCATATGGTGTGTGAAAGTCATTTACCAACGGTATTACTGCGATGCCTGAGCCGACGTCGCCCATGGGAATATCATCCGGATGTTCCCAGCCCTGCACCAAGTCATTGAACCAACCCCTTCCGTGTCCGTCGTAAACCACACGATGAAAAGTGGTGTTTTCGTTCTGATATATGACGTACGGCCAATAGGCGCTCATCTTGGAGCTATCCCACACAGTGAAAGGCGCCCGGTCCGAGCTAATACTATCGATCTTGGGCACCGTCTCATCTTCGAGGAAGTTGATCCCCTGGAACGTGGACGACGGGTCTAAGTAGAAGAACTCGAACTGCGGGAATTGCAGGTAGATGGTCCCGGCAATCGGCGTCCCGGGCTTCGCGTCTACGTCGTCGAAGACTAACGGAGACGACCAATGGCCAGTGCTGCTGCTGTACCGCGACGTGCGGATCTTGTTGTCGCCTCCTTGCCAGAACAGCCGCGAGGTAAAGCCGTTGCCTTGTACGCGCCGGCCCGTCACTGTGAGCCTCGTCTTGGGCCTGACTGCTGTCGTGTTTACTGTCGGGCTTGAGCTTGGTGTCGACGTTGGGCTTGGTGAAGATGTGGTTGAAGACGAGGTTGAAGATGATGTTGAAGATGAGGCTGAAGATGCTTGTTTTGCAGACGCGTCCGATCCACCATTCGAAGCCGCCCGGGTGCCGAGAACACCGCCGACGACCGCACCCACGATTACCGCAATAATAACTAAGCCTCCGATTAGAAAGTATAGCTTTCTTCTATGACCAATTCCTCCTTGAGGTGGTGGCTGCGGCACTGCGTCCTTCGAAGCATATGCTGAATAAACTGGTTGTGTACTATACGAAGGGCTGTCAGTCTTGGGGGGTGTAAGTCCCGGACCAGATTCTTGGACGAGATATTTGTGCGACGGCGGGTTCACGACTTCCGGGTCGGTGGAATAAGCGAGCTCGAGCCCAGGCTGCAAAGCCGTATGGTCTATAGGCATGTTGCTCATGGCCGGCTTTCTTCCTTTACTTCTAATGGAAACAAGACGCAGTAGAGTCGAACTTCGTGCCACTTCGCGATTGCTATCGGGCAGGAAAACGTCGGCGATAGTACCTAATTACCATGATGGCTGGCATAGAGGAGAAATATCATTACCGGCCGAGCCAGATGTTAAAATTATGGGCGACGGGGCATGCCTATAGCCTCATGGTTCAATGTGCTTGCTGGCTACCTAAGGTAGCTAGGCATAAATCTTCACCCCCAATAGGGCCAATGGGGGAGACGGTTGCGCACAGCCTAATATCAGGGATAATACAGGGGGATGCCGACCCAAAATCCAGCATCACCAATAGCAGCGTCTATGCCAAGGCTCATCTCGCCCGTTTGGGAAGTAAGGGTACGGCACAGCACGTTCTCCCAATTAGGGCTGCAGGTACATAGCATACCTTACATAGACGTACCCAGGTTGATATCCTTGTCGACTGTTGATGGTTTATTCAGCTTTCTCACAAATTCATCTACATTCCGTATGAGGTAGGTATGTAAGCAGGTGGCCGGTTGCTATGTGCCTAAAATGCAGGGGCTTTTGAGCAAAATACGATGAGCAAGCGCGGTAAGCGAATGCGAGATGAACAAGGTAAAGGTCCTGTAGAAGTCCGAGAGAATCAATTTAAAATAGCAATAGCTGGGCGGCGGAACAAATGCTATCGTGTAAGTGAAGCGGCTGACACTTATAGATATAAATCAACCGCCGCCGATCACGTTTTGGATTGGTACCTGTTACCTAACTACCTTAACGGGTATCTTAGAAGAAAGAACCACTACCGTCGCTAGCGAACTCTTCGATATCCCACCTCGTCGAACAGAGCAGGCGCAGTTATACCCAGATTTTCCTAGAGATTTCTTTTCTTTTTTTTTTCTTTTTTTTTTTTTTTTTTTTTATAAATGTAACGTTGATCCACTCGCCGCGACGAAAAAAACCGGTGGACCCGAATGTCAGCGAGGATCCGGGAGCCGTCGAAAAGACTTCGAATCTTTATTCTAACTAAATAACCTGTCTTCTACTCGGCGATGCAGGTAACCAACACCAAGATAAAGACGAGCCACTCCCGTTCCGGATAGACCCCTACTTAAGGTTAGGTGGTTGATCATTCAGAACTCTTGTGGGGATTTTGCGGCTCTCCAGTCCGCGAGCGAGCGATCGATCGCTCCTCGGAGTCCGCAGCTGAAGATATATCTGCATGGTGCAAGTAGTCGGCTAACATGTAGGGTACACAATCCAGACCCAGCCTATACCTGTAGCTGTGGCTATAACTATATATATAGCTTTGCGTATCGTGTTTGCCTATACGTTTTCCCCATCCAACGAAAAGGCTCGAGGCAAGTGCACCACCCTTAGTCCAAGTAGGTAAGAAGTCTACGAATGATACAGCTAATAACACCTTGACGACGTAGCGTACACATGCATCTGTTTTGCACGTCCTGTCCCAGGTAAAAGAAGATAGCTAGAAACTCTGAACAGCGATGTCAAAAGGGACTACTGTTAAAAAGGCATACACATAGAGATATCACGGCTCATTAGTCAAATCACTCCATATCAGGTATATTTAAAAGTAAATTTCGGCCAGCCAAATCGTTAAATTCCAAATTTACTAGCTAGCTTCAATAGATTTTATAACAAAACCGAGCATCACGGGGGAAAAAAATAGCAAAATAAAAGGGGTATCCGTAACTGTAATTCGCGAGGGAAATGTTTTTTTTTTCCCAACGAAAATATTCATCGTCATCATACAATGTGCAACGATGCGTGCACGCGCGCAGGGGCTCTCATCAGAGAGAGTCAACTCGTAAGCGCGAATGGTATCATTAATCATTCAAAGCCATGGCCTCTTTGCCTAGGTATACTGTAAATATCCACCCCATAGACGCCGGAATCGTAAAATTGTGTGTTACCTACTTAGGTACTAAGGTAGAGATATAGATGGTTAATTCACGTCGGAGTTAATGAACTAGGGCGTTACTATATGATAATTGGTGGGGTGATCATCTGCCCCTATAGTCCGGTTTCCTCGCCATGTTAACTACTGGCGGAGGACCGTCTTCATCGGGATAGGGTGGTAAGGGGCTCCCAGTTCGAGTAGGGCGTCGGCCGCCTGACATCTGCTTTTCAGGCAGCGGTGTTTTAGGGGGCAGTGGTGGAGGTTCAATGCGGTGCGGCTGGAATGGTTGTATCATAGGCTGCATGAAAGGATCTCTTTGCCTCCGGGGATATTCGTCGGCCCCCGTGATTGCTATTTTATCACTACCAGCAGCATTCCGGTATTGCGCTGGCGTGGGGGCTGTCACCACAAGGCGGTCAGGCTCGTCGTCTGGGGGAGGCGGCCTGATTGCTGATAATGAGGCAGGAGGCGAGGGCATCCTATGCGGTCGGGTAACTACCTGAGGCGGAGAGGAATGACTAGTGGCAGGCCGCAGGCGATCATCGGAACTCCGAGGCGATGGCGGGTTGGCAGCATTGACGGAGAGGTGTTCGAGGTGATCTATGCCGGACTCATATGATTGCCGGCTTGATGGAGTGCTTCGGATTGGGAATGACGTAGGGAAGTCTCCTGGAAGCTCAACAGCTAATGGCGCGTTTATCGACCCCATGGTTGGTTGAGACACAATATCAGGTATTCGACCGAGTCTCTCATACCTCTGCTTTGCCTTGTGGATCTTGGCCAATTTTGTAGAGGACTCCTGCACCATCCTTTGTTCGGTATTTTGAGATAGATACCTCTTTGTGCCCGTGCTGATATCACCTAACCTATCCCACTCGTTCATGGAGAATTCCCCAACACCAACTTCGACATTAAATCGGTAGTAGTTCTCAATGTTGACGCCTCGTTTTATCAAAAGTTCATTTTTCATGCGCTCGTGGATGGCTTCGCAGCCTTCCACCTTGGCAATTAACTTCTTTCTGGCTTCTCCCCATTCGCCCATAAAGCCTTCATACCATAGGTGCTGGTTCTGCTCGGTACCCCTTGGTCGTTTACCGGTTCCAACGCTGATGAAGACGCCCACATCTCGTCCCGGCCATTCATTAACTGTAGCCTCGTCAAGGGCCACAGGAGATGGATTAAATGTTCCAGATCCGTCATCATGGAATACCGTCTGTCCAATTTTGATCGGCTTGAACGCCAGCCCAATCGCGCATGTCGCCCGACCGGCCTCCCAAATTGTACAGTCGTATTCTGGGGGAGGCTCTTTTCTCGAGTCATATGAACGGAGAAGCGCAGGAGGGCCACCCTTGCGTGTTCCCTTGTACATAGCAGTTACAGCCCTACGAAACTGTTAGTAATTTTATGGCCAATATAAAAAGGAATGTAGCTCACGTTTTTGTCCTATTTTCTCGTGTATCGTATAACTGTGCATCGGGATTACCCTGTCCACCGCGAAATGTCGATTTGGCTTGGCTGGCTGGACTGCGCCCACTAAAACTGACGACGCTTGCGTTGCTTTGGTGTCGTCGCGGAAACCCACTTGCAGCGCTCGATCGCGACACGGTAGATATGGGACTGACAATATCTGCTGCGAGGTCGTTTCCTTCATCATCAGACCAAGTATGCTCCCTTACGGCTTCTTTGATCGCGCGCTCAAGCATAGATGCCTTGAACAATGTGGAGCGATACGGGATACCAGCAAAAGTTTTATCACTCTCGAAAACCATCCTCGTCATGCGAACGTACAGTTCTTTGCACTGTTCTAGGTTTAACCGGAGTCGCCCTAACATTAAGGCGATCAGGCCGCCGGTACCGGTACCAACTATGAGATCGAAATGATCGCATGGTTTAGGAATTTGATCGCGCTTTGGAGCTTTCCCTTCGATTTCGACGTAGGTTCGAAGCATTATTTCTTGTATGATAATAAACATAGAATAACCACGAACTCCTCCACCATCTGCATCGGCGCAAAACGCCAAAAATTAGTATTCTTGTATGCTCGATGTAGAGCGCGTATCAAGGTTGGCGGGGTAAATAACTTACCCAAGCTTAATATCCTTAATGGAGGACCCTTGGTGGTGTCTTTCCTCTTTAGATGTCCTTCTGACTCCATCTTTGTCGCAATGAAGGTAGATACCTTTGATCTTCCAGATATGTTGACGAAATGTTTTTAGGACAACTAGAAGTTTGTCTAAGGAGAAAAAAAAAATAGACAAAATAAGTTGAGACCGAATCCCCCGCTAAAGTTCGCTACCCTCGTCGGGTGACGACGTCAGTCTCACAAGGCAAATGAATTAAATGTGACTACCTAGGTAGGAACCGCCACAGCCGAATGGCTCAGGAATAATGGTTCGTCGCGTAACAAATAGTTGGAAATATGATAGCGTAAAGATGATAAAAGTATTATATTCGGGTTGGTTTTGAATCAAATCGTATTGGAATAAGAGAGCTGAATTTGCGCGCTTACGATGTTGCTTGACAATGCCGTTGAAAGAGTGAATTGCTATTGATGGCTATTGATGGCTATTGAAAACTTCAAGGTTCAATGTTTCTGTCGAAGGCGCAACAAGTCTTTGTCATTGTGGCTAAGCAATCCAAATTCATGGAAGTTGCTTGGTCCGGCTTGTACATGTAAGCATTAGATTAGGTACCTGTCGCATACTACACAAAAGACGTCACATGTACTTCGTTTAACACAGCCAAGCCCGTATATCTGGGTGTTGCGCTGAGTCGCTTTAGAAGTATCCACTACCTCTATTCCGTACCGCGTACCTACATCTAGTAACGTGCTTACCAAAGATTCTCGGAAGATCCGGTATCGTACCCATTTTTATCCATTTTTATGATTGCTTATTCGACGCTAGAAGGGCTGAGTCCAAGCCCCAAGTCATAAACCACGTGCAGCTACAAAAATTGTTTTTTTTTTTTTTCCCGTATTGTCGGCAGCTCTGATTATAAGTCAAGGTGCGACTGAGAGAAGGTAGAACTTGTGAGTTATCCATTCCAACGCATGTAAACCGTAAGTAAGAACGGTAAAAGTAATGCATGACGCTTATAATCCTTCAGCTGTTTCGGGCTTGACTCCCTCTTTTTCAATCACCAAATCGGTGAAATCATTGGGTAGCATCCTCTCGTTGGCCTAACACGAACGGATGGATACATGTTGACGAAATACACTATCCAAGATTCGAACGTTGTGGCTCAGCCATAACAATGTACTCTCATTGGTAGGAGTTGAGTGAACTAAAGCGGATAGCATTGCCACCGTGATTCGGTCATCAGCTTTTACATGTTTGGGGACTTACATAGTACAAGCTCCACTGATTGAGAAATCCAAGGAAGTTTTCTAGAAAACTTCCATGCAGGGGAATTTGATTATCCGCGCCGTGGGTGAGACGAAGGTCAATGATCTCGATTAAGAGCAGATCATTGATATTTCGCGAGTAAACCATCATTCGACGGTAATGATCTACTTATGTACGCAATTCGAAAGGCGTGTTCCGTAAAGAGGCTTTGGCGCCTTGCCAAAGGACTATGCACTCTGGCACTTCACGATTATTTATCGGCTCCGATATGTCCGTGCCCTCGCGCCATTTCTTTATGTTTCTAGTGGCGTTAGGCGTACGGAACTCGCTGTCCTCAATGCCGGTTGACCGCTCAACGCCAACTCTTTTGTAGGAGTTTCGGGAGAAAGATGGATTCCATCTTTGATACTCTATCCCATGACCGCCTTATACATAGTAGCTAGCCGCGTACACCCGCTCATCTGCTTAGTCGCGTCTATTAAACAATAAGGTCAGGGCCAGTCTTTTGCTCTGCTCGTGATATAGGCCGTAAGTAAGATTATACTCACGATGAACACGAGATGAACGGATTTATGTCAACAATAGACACATATTCGACATTCCAGTTGTCATGCAGTAACTAAACAGAGATTAATCGATAAAATGACCTAACGGCTTTCTGTAGACTCGGGAAATACGAGTTTAGTGGCATTCCAACAGCGAGTGACACGGCATGGTTTGTCACAACTAGAAACCAAGTAGCCGCTAGCTCTAGGCAACATTGCGCAGTGTATCATCCGTTTTCGAACTTGGGACTTATCAGTTGGTAATATCACTTCTGAAACTAAGAAATAAGTCGGTATGTTAGCTAGTGACAAGATATTGGAGTTCGGCGTATGTCATTCTAACAGGGCGAGGGTAGGAACTCAAAGTTCGGAAGGACTTGATAAACATATTTTAGAAATGATAATCGAGTAGTTTTTAAGAAAGTCGTTTAATAGGTATCATGAAGTTTAGGGGTTTTCGAATTAAATGTACATAGTTTGGACCCTGCGGTAGTCTCTTTGTTGTCTTTTTTTCATTCTTGGCCTACCCGAAAGACAACTAACACCTTATTGGTGACGCTTGGGTGAAATGTAGGGCTGCCGAGTGGTTATACAATACAATGGTACCTTACCGCTCATTACAGCTGAAGGAAGCACGCTAACGTTGAGGGAAAAGCTTATGCTCTGATTCTGGCGTGAGCAGAGCCGGAAGGATTCAGGTTGTGCAACGTCATGTCGCATTCCGCGTCGTCGAAAAGCGAATTCATATTCCTTTCCTTCACTTCCCACGTGGACAGCAGATTTTGATTTGGCCTTGGACATAACTCTGCTAGTACAGCTCAGCTATGAATAACCTAGGGTGGCGATACTTTCTTTCAACCAAGGGTGGAATCGGTTATATGCGGAGGTGACAGAAATATCGTGTCAACGAATGGTAATCTTGCGCTTCGTATACCCAGGTATAGTCTGAAGACGCTGCAAACGTCCTAGCTTCCGTCCGGGCTAATTGAGACAAGTTGGCGTGTCTTTACTGCTTTCCGGCTACGGCTCGGCTCCGAATATGTAGCGTGCATCACCAATTGAACGTTAGCTACAGTGACAATTAAGCAACAACTACTATTACTACCTAAGGTATGTGAAAAGGTAGGTAAGTAATAAGATTATTTTTTTCTCTCCTTAGCTTAAAGGTAGGTGAGGGATTAGGCTGCCGGGATCCGCAGGCTAATATTTTCAATAAGAGACCGCTCATACGTCGTGTAACCAAGTGCCACTACGAACTGCCTAGGTACCAGGTGTATTACGGTCAGATAATTAAACTGGTTATCCTGCGCGCGCTGAGTCACACGGGTGAGAAAAACATCAATGTGATGCGTAATAAAATCGTAACGGTGTGCGGAAGACCCGAGGCTTATTCAAGGAAGACAAAAAAAAAAGGAATAGACGACGCGGCTGGGCTCGTATGCAACGAGTTTGAAAACTGATGATTAATCTTCACTCATAAAGACCAGGTATTTCAAGAGGTATTTTCAAGTACTACCTATTCAATTCAAACCTTGAAAAAAAAAGCGGATTAAAAAGCTCCAATGGATTACCCCGAGTCTTTCCCCAGGGGGCTTGGGGGAATATCCGGGGTCCCTAGCTCTCTCCAAAGTCTATTCGGCCCGTAGTGGATACTCATAAATGGATTAGGAGGGAAGGGGACGTCACTACCTAAACCACCAACTTCCTGTTTCCTACTATACGTAGTAGGCCACTGACATCATTCCACAATCATGTGCGGGCGGCTACCAAAATTGTATTATCGGGATGCCGCCTATTACCTAAGACACGTATTCTACCAATTTCGCACTTTTTGCCGTCTTCATCTTCATTTCCCAAAATATGACTGAGACAAGAATTCGACAGCGCGAGACTAACTACTCGAGACAAACTCAAACTAGTTAAGCGGACCATTCTTTAGTTAGTTGGAGATTTTAGACTTTACCCCGGAATTCTCCATGTGGTTGCGTCTTAAAAAAGATGGGATTAATCCCTCCCTTACGCTCGAACTTCTGCAGACGGGTAGAGTCCAGACGGAGCCAACATTCTTATCTAGAGCTTTATTGATCAGACGGGCAGTGGTAAATCGCGTGCAGAAATGATTATCCAGAGTTCTGGGATGCTGTTGGTCGAATGCTTAAAAAGTCCTAAAAGCCCTAAGACAACTGTACCCATGCAACCCTCTTCCCCCGAATGAACATTCCAGTAACCAATAGACGCTGCCGCGAGAAGTTCCTCTCCCCGCGGATTGGTTTGTTACCCGCATATGGCTTGACAGAGAGAGTTAGCACGCGTGTGACCTCCAGAAAATTTTGTGGGCGAGTCCCACTGCCCTGGAAACCCCATTGTCACCTCTTTTGGGAAACACGTTACGAGCCCTAGGCGAGCTCGGGGTGTTGTTATCCCTAAGCTTGTGGGAACTTTTTTTTTTCCCTTTCCCTAACGAAATCCGATTCGAACAAGAACGGGTTGATTGCTTGCTTGCTTGATGCTTTTTTTTTTCTTGGTATGTCCTGATTCATTCATCCCGTGACGATTTAGCCATGCTCTTAGCTTAGCTTTGACCGGTTCTGGATCCAATCGCCTCAAACCGTCAATTCACCGAAATGTGTGAGAGAGAGCAAAGATTGGTTAGGCCTATACCAATCCGTAGATTCAACAAGTCTGGGGATCCGCATGCCATGTAGAACCCGGCCCATCCATCTGTAACTTCTCCCGGCCGGGGCGCCACACAGGCATGGAGCAGGTCCAGTGACCAATGTGCCTTTGTTGCTACGATCAAAGGACTGGGGTTCTTAGCAACCTGGCACCTGGCACCTGGCTACATCCTCGGGATGGCGGTACACATCTGCACATCTGCAGGTTATAAGTTAGGTACCTTAGGTATCTCGGTAGTGTTTGGTAGATGTAGGGCATGTATTGTACGCTAGGTAGGTAGGTATTGTATTGTATGTACCTCGAAAAACTTCCACCACTCGAATCCTGAATCCTGGCTACCCCAGCGACACACCCCTTTCGCATATAATAAAGGATCGACCCTCTCCCATCTTCCAGTCCTACTTTTGTTTTTCGACATGCTCTTCTTGCACATCCGCAACTAACAACCTAAGCAAGTCATATGTGTCGCCAATAGACCACGCGGGGTCTTAGACAACCATGAAGAAGTTTGGCAATATTTATCTTATCGCGGCCACGTCCGTCATCGGTAAGTTCACCTTTTTATGTCCACCGCCTCTAATTGCTTGCAGCTTGCAGCTATTGCCGTCGCGGAACACTAACAATTTCCTTAGGTGGCGCGCTGTTTGGTTTTGATATCTCATCTATGAGTGCTATTATCTCTACCGCCCCTTACAAGTGTCAATTTAATCAACAAGTTAGTCCATCCAATCTCGGAGTTCTCACCTCGTATAAATGCCCTTTAGCTAACAATTGCAGGGCAACAGACCTGGAACCAATGAGTGCCAGGGTCCGGACGATGTCGTACAGGGTGGCATCACCGCTGCCATGCCCGGTGGTTCTTGGCTGGGTGCCCTCATCTCTGGTGTTCTTACTGATATGTTCGGTCGAAAGACGTCTATTCAGATCGGTGCTGTTATCTGGTATGCTCTCAACATTGTAATACGCCCGCATCTAGACTTCCACTAACAACGAATTTTACAGGATAATCGGTTCTATCATTGTTTGCGCTTCCCAAAACATCCCGATGCTCATTGTTGGTCGTATCATCAACGGTTTAAGCGTGGGTATCTGCTCGGCTCAGGTCCCGGTCTACATCTCCGAATTGTCGCCGCCGTCTAAACGAGGCCGGTTTATTGGAATGCAACAATGGGCCATCACCTGGGGTATTGCCATCATGTTCTTCGTGTGCTACGGCTCCAGTTTTATCAGCGGAGCCGCCGCTTTCCGTCTGCCATGGGGTCTACAAATGATTCCTGCCATTCTACTCTTCTTTGGCTTAACAGTCCTCCCCGAATCGCCTCGTTGGTTAGCGAAGCACGATCGTTGGGAAGAGGCCAAGGCGGTACTTGTCCTGGTCCACGGCAAAGGAGACCCTGACTCTCAACTTGTCGCAAAGGAGATGGCAGAAATCAAGGAAGCGGTTGACTTCGAGCGTGCCAATGCCGACGTGTCTTACATCGAGTTATTCCGACCTAAGATGATCAACCGAACTCACATTGGTCTCTTCACGCAGATTTGGTCACAACTCACCGGCATGAACGTCATGATGTACTACATCTCGTACATCTTCACAATGACGGGCTCTGGTGATGATGTGCTACTACCCAGCGGTATCCAGTTCATCATCAACGTTGTCATGACTATTCCGGCTCTTATTTGGCTCGACAGGTGGGGTCGTCGTCCGACTATGCTTGTCGGCGCGTTCTTCATGTGTCTTTGGCTTTGCATCAATGCTGGTCTATTTGCCGTGTATTCGCACCCGCCTGCCCCTCACCAGTTCGATACTCCCGCCATTTCTATGGTTATCAGTGGAAAGCCAGCCAAGGCCGTTATTGCTAGCACCTACCTGTTCGTCGCCTCCTACGCGCCGACATGGGGTCCCGCCTCTTGGACGTACCCGGCTGAGCTTTATCCTCTTCGCGTGCGTGGTAAGGCAGTTGCTCTCGCCACATCTGCTAACTGGGCCTTCAACTTCGCACTCGCATATTTCGTCCCTCCCGCATTCGCGAGCATCACCTGGAAGACATACGTCCTCTTCGCCGTATTCTGTTTCGCCATGTTCTTCCACACGTTCTTCATGTTCCCCGAGACCGCCAACAAGACCCTCGAGGAGATCGCTGCTGTCTTCGAAGACAAGGGCCCCGGCTCCGTGAAATACATTGGTGTCCCGGCATGGAAGACTCACAACGACCGTTCCATCATCAGGGTCGAGCGCAACCTGGTCAGCTCCGAGGAGAAGATTGACATTGAACACACTACTTCGGCTAAAATGTAAAGGCTGAAGGGGGTTATGTTGTAACGGCGCACCGGTCGCATCGTCTAGGGAAAGTGGACAGGAGTGTTAGGATGTTCCAGGACATCGTAATGGATAGCGCGTTTTGGTAAAATGCGCCTTGTGGATTGTTCAGAGAGGCGTGTTTGATATGAAGTCTCAGGACATAAAGAGGTTTAGTTATTCCTTATAAGTTTTGAACCCTCGAGTTTTTCATCAGCTCGAGGCCATATACCCATCTTAAAATGAATACAATGAATGCATTTAAAATCACATAGTTTGTGTTTATGGCTTGCCTCGTCGAATAATTAGTTGCTTTTTTTTATAAAAAAAAATCGAAGTTATCTACCTCAGGTAGGTAGGAATCTTGAGGAATAATTAGGTACCTAGAATTGTTTTAGTTTAGTAAATATTCCTCAAGCCAGTGTGTGACATTCCATCGCTCGAATTTTAGAATAATAATAGGTCCCCGGTTTTATTTCCATCTCTCCGCCTTAAACCCATTCCAAACCAACGCGTAATCGCTGAAGAATTAGGTACTAAACAACAATTGGGCCAACCAATAGAATAGGTACTTCGGAGCCGAGTTGTTGTTTATCTGAGTAGGCTACTTGTACCTAACCTAAGCTTTGTTGGAGTTGACCCCCTGTATCTCCGCATCTTAAATTGTGAATAATACTTTTACAAGCATTAAACCGTAAAGATAGTACAAATCGTAGCGGTTATAGATATACGTTATGTTATTAGAGGTTAACGAGTCTTCAAGCTCCGCTTTGTGGAGCAATGCGAAGTCCTTTAGTGGCTCTCTGCAGCACTGATCGACAACTGCGGGGGTTTCTGTTGGACAAAGCTACCTTAGGTTAACCTTAGGGTGGTATGTATCTAACGAAGACTTGGAGGGCCTGCAACGCACCACCACACGTCCTCCCGAATCAGCCTCGCCCGTAGCCTGATCATTCCCAATTCCCAATCTCTCTCCCCCCCCATCTCGCCCTCCATGGTCTTTCTCTAGCACCATCTGTTTATTTATTTATCATAATACAGATGATTTCCAAAATTTGAGGTGTTGCGATTTTATTTTATAACCACAATTGCTGCCGAGGAGCCTCCGTCGTCTTGTTACGCCTTCAATTGACATCCGATGGATCAGCCGGCGGCAAAGAAGAGAAGGCTGGCTCCTAAGATCGAGGCGCAAGCCAGTCCTCCGCGTCCTCCTCCGTTCGTTCACGAACCTGTAGGTATAATTCAATTGATATGCCTTATCGATCCGTGGAAACTCACATCAATAGGTGCCGCCCGCACAGCAGTATCAGGTTCAAGAGGTACCCCCACCGCCCCCGGAAAGACATGAGTTCGAGTCATTCGCGAGGCATCTGCAAGATGCCGCCATGCTTATATATCGTCAAACGCAAAAATCACCCTATACAAAAGCTTCTGTTCTTATCCTCCGCTGGGAAGAAGATAATGCCGTCGAACATGATCTCGTCGCTCTCGATCAAGTCCTCCACGATCGGTATAATTACCGCACTGAGCGTTTCAACATACCTACCATTCCAAATCCTAGCGTCAAACTTGGCGTTCGTATGGCATCTTTTCTTGAAAATGCGGCACCCGACCATCTGTTAATAATATATTACGCGGGCTACAGTTATGTTGGCGAGGATCATCAACTCTATTGGGCAAGGTAGGTCACACCACACGGTACGGTAGCGTAGAAGTTGATCTAACATATAATTAGTAATTCGGAGAGGACTTCAAAGGCGAAATGGAGTGGAATTCGATGTCTTTTCGAAGATGTTCAGTCCGATATACTTCTGCTTCTTGATACTTGTGCCGCTAAAGAACAGCCGGTTATAGAGGGTAGCAGTGTCAAGCAGGTCATTGCGGCTAACTCGCCGGAATATTATACCCGAGATCATAGCTTACGGTCATTCACATCCTGTATTACGGAAGCATTAGTTAAATTAGGCAGTGGGCGACCTTTTACCCCCGAGCGTTTGCATCACGAAGTGGCCACTCAGAGACAACAAGATCTGATCCAGGCTTCGGGACTGACTAATGGAGCTAGCAAAAGCATACCGCTCACCGAAAAGTTACCGGTTTTCTACGCTCTAAGTTCCATTAAAGATCAATCTATCTCTATATCCCCCCTCCCGCCTCACATCGAGGCACAATCAAGATCTCCCCAGATTGGAATCGACGGAGATGCCCAACTATTCAAGACGCCCCGGGAAGATCCAATCATTCACCGAAGCGCAGTTGCAGACTTGACCTTCGATGAACCAAGAGCCCTAGTTTGTACAACGTTTGTCGGCGAAGCCAGCCCGGATATGTCCTCTTTCAACCACTGGCTTCATAATGCCCCTGCTATTGCCTCAAAAATTACTGTCGAGGGCATGTTTCTAGGACCACCTACAATGCTGCTCATATCAATGCCGCTTCTTGTCTGGAACGTCGTTCAGCATGATAAAGTCTGCTGCTTTTTAGGATATGTGAATTCCCATAATATGACGCCCCTTTACAATCGATTAGTCAGTCTCGTTCCTGTCCTCAACACGGCATCGGCGAAAGACGTGGAAGACGGTCGGATGCTCCTAGAAGCTCGGGAGGTGGCTGCAAGCACGCCAATCGTACGCCGACATGAACTTCCTACCCATTCTCAACTACGACCAGAGACACCAGTTCGTCCAGAGAGCATGGGTAGACTTGATTCCGTAACGTTGCCCCAACCATCTAGTACCCCCAGTATCGCATATACCAGCTCGAGGCCGGGTACTGCTATACCTAAAAATGACGTTGAAGATTCGGCTGAGATGCAGGAAGCTGCTGAGCAGTTAAAGGCTCTCAGCCATGTCCGGCACTTGAGCAATGATAACATACCTGCTGTTCACGCACAAGCCATGTCTGTAGATCACACGACGGTAGCCGGTCGCCGCGACGAAGTTTCACCCCAAGAAGCAAATGAATCTGGCGCGGACGAAGCTCCATACAATACCGAATTTACACCACCATCCGCACGGCCTAAGCAGCAGCGGCGATCACTTCAAAAACAAGCACCGAAACAGGAAACGCGCTGTAATCACTGTAGTCATGCCCCCTTTAAGGATTATTCATCGCTACGTAAACATATCGCTGCTGCTCACACTCGGCCTTTCCCTTGTGCATTTGCCTTTGCTGGTTGCACTAGCACATTCGGGTCCAAGAATGAATGGAAGAGACATATTGCCTCACAACACCTGTGCCTCCAGTATTATAGATGCTCGTCTTGCCCGCAGAGTACGGTTGAAGGCAAGGGAAACGAATTTAACAGAAAGGATCTTTTTACGCAACACCTTCGTCGAATGCATGCTCCTTTCGCAATAAAAAAGGCCCTTGCGAAGGGTGATAGCAAATTGCAACAAGATTGGGAAACACACGTTAAAGAGATGCAGCAAACGTGTCTTGTGACCCGGAGACAGCCTCCGCAAAGGTCCTCTTGTCCTAAGGCTGGTTGCGCGAGCGTCTTCGAGGGACCTACTTCTTGGGACGAATGGACCGAACACGTCGGAAGACATATGGAGAAGGGCGAAGCGGAACGGCTCGGTGTTGATCGCCTACTAGCAAAATGGGCCTTGGAAGAAGGTATTATCGAACGCCGAGACGACGGCGAATACAGGTTATGTAGCGGATCTAGCAATAACCCAGAGAGAGAGTCCGCCGGCAACAATATGGAATACCACTCTGATGGAAATAAACGTGACAGAGATCGAGACCGAGATCAAGACCGAGATCAAGACCGAGACCAGGACCGGGATCAAGAGGACCGGACGATAGTAGCAGCAAGTACGATGGTGGATAAAATGGACGTGGACGGATGACGCTGAGCTATATATTATACAGAATGCTATTCAAGGCGAAGCATTCAGATGGGATTTTTTCTCTTTCTTAAGGGCATAGGGATCGGTCGAAAATTACGTGCCTCGCGAGGTTTAACAGGACGAGTTTACGAATTTCTTTTGCTCGTTTTACCGGGTGTATCCCAACTAGATGTGGCACGATCACCTGACGTTTCTATTTTGTTAAGCGCAGACTACAGGGACGACTGTACGACTATATACCACTTTCGAGCATACTCTTGCGAATGTCCATCGGGTCGGTTGTTTGAGATAGACATTAGGAAGGAGGGGGAAGGAAAGGGAGGCCTGCATAATTTGGTTCGGTATATTTTTATCTTAATCACTTTGAGCGTTGCGCATTCTGGCACGTATCTGGTGATCATCCCCAGGCTCCGGATTGATTTGGGAGTCGGGTGTTCATAGTTTACCATGATCTTTGGTTCATTTTGGAGGGCCTATTCTTGTAGAGTAACTAACTTCAGTTCCATAATTCGTTCTTTGGTCAATATCCTCGAATTGACGGCGCAGCTGTCATAACCGTGACTGGTAGTGATGACTTAGGTCGTTTAGTCTTCTCATATTGGCCTCGTCGTAATTGCAGGTAGGTAATACATAGTATATTCATATTTACCTGTACCTATGAGTATAAAGGACGCAAAGAACGAAAACTAAGACAGCTAGTTCCGGACGGGGCTTGGGCTATATAGGAGGTACCTAATGTATTGCCAACTGCTAAGCTTTCATTCTATATCATGCGGTGAAGTTCTATTCGTACGTTTTAACATCATGTTCGTACTATATAGGTAGCCCCGGATCACTCGGTGCAATTATGATCCTGGTAGAGGTTCTTTTGGTGTTGATAGTCTTTCGGGGGACAAGCCCAAGTCGGTGTTGTTCCCCACATCGTCAGCATACAGAACAAACACGCTTGTTGAAAAGAGAGGGGGCCCATATAGGATGGAACCTAGTCCTGTTTTATGCTCTCATTGGATAGCCAAAGCAAACTTGGTACCTAATATCATGGGTATGGAGCTTGTATGGAGCCCCTGCGGGGAAGCTCTCAGTGGCTCGGTGCGGAGATGAGGAGATGAGGAGCTGGGCCGCGCTCTAGCCAATCGTTTTTTTTTTATCCTATACCCAAAAGGTCCGGGGAAGCTCCGCGAAAGCGCCGCCTACGCGCTCTCACTCCGCCTTTTGTCCAACTTACGCATTGAGTATGCGAAAATGCCAAGCAAAGCCAGCTCTTTGGACCGCCTTATAATACATCACGTGGACCGAAGCAGCGCCGAAGCAGCTGATTGACGTCGTCCACCGCTAACTTGTAAGTGTATGATGTATGATGTTCTTGGTCGATTGTGGCCTTACAACTAGCTCTAGATTCCTAGGCTACAAATTGCTCTTGTTCGAAGCTATGGTGACCCCTGGGGGGAAAACACGACGGAAACGGTTCGAGCGGAGTAGCAATTTTTTGGGAATATTGGGGTATATGCCGGGGGGGGGGCGAAGCTGGGATGATCACGATCCTACGTTATTACCATGGGACGACTTTACGTAGTAGTACATACGCATAAAGACCCAGGTACGTGAAAGAAGTATATAAGTTCCAGAAGCAGCACCAAGTCCCAATGGAAAACAAAGCCGAACCTCTTTTGCCGGGTCACACAGCTTCCACGCTGAGATTGTCGCTCTCTAAGATCTAACACGCAGGAGAGCTGCTGTGCATGACAAGTGATTGTCACACATTCGATCAGAATGGCAACCCTCTTGTCGCTTGTTACGGCGGCGACAGCGGTTTCAGCCGCCGCTGTCATACGACGAGACTACCAGACCGCTGACCCTCTCGCTTCCTGTCCGGGTTATACAGCTTCGAATGTCGTTAGCACGGGTTCGGGGTTGAAGGCGGATCTAAAGCTGGCTGGTGAGGCTTGCAATGTATACGGAACGGATCTGAAGGACTTGACTCTCGAAGTCTCATATGACACAGGTATGGCAACGCTTTGATAAAGGCTAAGGAAGAAGAAGAAGAAAACATCGTCTAATACTCTATAGAAACGAGACTTCACGTCAAAATCCAAGATGCTGCTAACAACGTCTACCAAATTCCCGAGTCCGTCTTCCCTCGGCCGGAAGCTGAAGGTGCCGAAGAAGCACAGTCTGCGTTGAAGTTCGACTACAAGGAGAGCCCATTCTCCTTCACCGTATCTCGCTCCGACTCGGGCGAAGTCCTTTTCGACACATCGGCCGCCAACATAGTATTCGAGTCGCAATATTTACGCCTACGGACTAAGCTACCGGAGAATCCGAGCCTATACGGTCTCGGCGAGCACTCGGATCCCTTCATGCTGAACACAACTGACTACATCCGCACGTTCTGGTCGCAGGACTCTTTCGGCGTCCCCGAAGGTACGAATCTGTACGGAAACCATCCTGTGTACTACGAGCACCGAGAATCGGGTACCCACGGCGTGTTCTTCTTGAATTCTAACGGTATGGATATCATCATCAACAACACCGCCGAAGCTGGGCAGTACCTCGAGTACAACACCCTCGGCGGCGTGTTGGACTTCTACTTCGTGTCCGGCCCGAGCCCGATTGAAGTCGCGCAGCAGTACTCCGAGATCGTGGGTCAACCTACGATGCAGCCGTACTGGGGATTGGGATTCCAGAACTGCCGTTACGGGTATCAAGATATTTTCGAAGTCGCCGAGGTCATCTACAACTACAGCCAAGCTCGTATCCCGCTCGAGACCATGTGGAACGACATCGACTACATGTACCGCAGAAGAGTAAGATTCCGCCCAGTCTACGATAGTTTTGCTCTCGTCAAGCTAACAAGACGTTTTAGGTATTCTCCTTGGACCCGGAAAGATACCCTCTGCACAAGGTGCGCGAGGTGGTTGACTACCTGCACGCGCACGACCAGCACTACGTCGTCATGGTAGATCCTGCCGTGGCCTACCAGGACTTCCCTACCTCGTTCCGGCGCGGTGTTGAGGACAACGTCTTCATGCTCCGCGAGAACGGTACCGCCTATAAGGGTGTTGTCTGGCCCGGGGTTACGGCCTTCCCCGACTGGTTCTCCGCCAACATCTCCAAGTACTGGAACAACGAGTTCGATCTGTTCTTCTCGCCTACGGATGGCGTTGATATCGATGCCCTCTGGATCGACATGAACGAGCCTTCCAACTTCCCCTGCTTCTTCCCTTGCGACAACCCCGACGCTTCGGCCGTGGGATACCCGCCGGAGCCCCCGCCGGTCCGATCTCCTCCCCGTCCCCTCCCCGGCTTTTCTTGCAACTTCCAGCCTGAAGGCTGCAACAACACCGAGGTCAAGTCCCTGGCGATCCGCGACGGCACTCCCCCGGCCTACTTCGACAACCTCATCCTCGCACCGCGCCAAGAAGAGGGCAAGCAGCTCGGCCTACCCGATCGCGACCTTCTCTTCCCGAAGTACGCGATCCACAACAAGGCGGCGGGCTCGGACAGCATGAACGCGGCCGAGGGCGGCATCTCCAACAAGACCGTCAACACGGATCTGATCCACCAGAACGGCCTGACCATGTACGACACGCACAACCTGTACGGCTCGATGATGTCCATCGCCTCGCACGGGGCCATGCTGCACCGCCGCCCTTCCGTGCGGCCCATGATCATCACGCGCTCGACGTTCGCGGGGGCCGGGACCAAGGTGGGCCACTGGCTGGGGGATAACGTGTCGACGTGGCACCACTACCGGCTGGCGATCCGGAGCATGCTGGCGTTCGCGTCCGTGTACCAGATCCCGATGGTCGGCGCGGACACGTGCGGGTTCGACGGCAACACGACGGAGCAGCTGTGCGCGCGGTGGGCCGCGCTCGGCGCCTTCGCCCCCTTCTTCCGCGTGCACAACGGCCTCGAGGCCCGGCCGCAGGAGCTCTACCGCTGGGAGAAGACGGCCGAGTCCGCCCGCAAGCACATCGACATTCGCTACCGCCTGCTCGACTACATGTACACGGCCATGCGCGCGCAGGCCCGCGACGGCACGCCCATGGTCAACCCGCTGTTCTACCTGTACCCGCGGGACAAGAACACGTACCCGATCGACCTGCAGTACTTCCTCGGGCCGGGCCTGCTCGTGGCGCCCGTGACGGAGGAGAACAGCACCAGCGTGGACGTGTACCTGCCGGACGACGTGTTCTACGACTTCCACACGCGCGAGCGGGTGGTCGGCGAGGGCAAGTATGTCACGGTCGCGGACCAGGAGTGGACGGACCTGCCGCTGTACCTGCGGGGCGGGGTGATCGTGCCGCTGCGCGCCGGGTCCGGGATGATGACGACGGCGGAGGTGCGCGGCCAGCCGTTCGAGATCGTGGTGCCGGTGGGCAAGGACGGGCGGGCGAGCGGGCGGCTGTACGTCGACGACGGCGAGAGCGTCGAGCAGCCGGGGACGACGGACGTCTCGTTCGAGTACGCGGACGGCGTGCTGAGCGTCGGCGGCACGTTCGGGTACAAGGCGGAGCAGCTGCGGATCAGCAAGGTCACGTTCCTGGGCGTTGGAGGCGGGAACGGCAAGCGCGCTGATAATGGGGTCGTTACGGTGGATGTGGACAGGGCGCTTGAGGAGGCGTTTACCGTTAAGGTTAGCGATACGTGAGGGATGGGCAAGAGGTTGAAGTACATATTAAGTGCCTAGGTACTTAAACTATATCTACCTATTTATAATGTATAAACGATAAACGATTGAATGAACGAGTCGGAACTCCTACCAATTCTACTTATTTATGACCCGTGATATAGAGAGAAAAGAAGAGAAAAGAAAAGGAAGCACAGTCCTGCGTTTGGATCTAGGGGGACTGAGTTGTTTGGGCATCTACCGTTCGTTAAGTCATTCCCTAGGGTTTTATTTGCAGTTTTGAGGGAAACTGAGGGAATGGACTCGGATATTTCCTTGCCTCCCTGAACTACCAAGTACGTTTCTGCCACTTGATTCTTCTCATTTTTTTAAAAAAAAAAATATTGACCAAGTGCAAAACCAATGTTTTCTAAACCATATTTTCCGATAGCACTAGAGCGTCCAGAATTAAGGCGCAACATACCCTACGAACGGTTATAGGGTATCTACCGAGGATGATAGGCTTTCCGGGGTCCTCTCCGAAGGTTACGTAGTAAATATACCGCTTGGACGGCGGTCCCTCTCGGTGGCCGAAACCGGATTAGACAGAAACGGGCCGTCGGTTCTCCATCGCACGATAAGAAATTTGCTCCCCACGGGGGTAGCGTGTGATATTCCTGGGGAAGTCTTGGTTTCGACACCGAGGCTGGTAATACGTGTCGCGTGACCACCCGCCACCGAACATGTTTACGGACATCTGATGCCATATCTGGGTTATGTTATCTTATGGCGTTACACATTGGACAAGGTGCAAGTTTTATATAGGAGTCTAGACTTTAGAGAGAGTTCAGTTATGGGTCGCTGGATATATTTCAGGGGAAGAGATCGGGTGGAGAAACGGAGGGGAATAGAGGTGAAATGAAGTTTTGTCTAAATCGCATCATGGGGTCAAATAGAGCTAAATCAAACGTTGGTAAAAGATATAGGAAGAAGAAAAAAATTAATTGTTGAGTCTTGCTGGGTGGGATCGGGACGTTGTTGTAGAAAGGAAAAAACGAAGCTGTCCTACAATACAAGCGCCTCAGATGAAAGATGGCACCAATCCATAGGCAAATTTTTTTTTTCCTTACGACGAGGCCATAAGAGGGAATTATATCAACCTAATCGGCGGGCATGATTGGGTCCGGCGTTATCCATGTGAAGTTGTCAAATTGACAAACAAATTTAACGGCTGCCTTCCGCAACTACCCTCTTCGAACTGGTCCTGTTACAAAAGATCAAACAATCTAAGGTGTGCTCAAGTGTCACAATTACGGGAAGAAGACACTTACGAATAATTCCATTTCATCTTTAACTCCGCCTTTTTTTTAAAAAAAAAAAATCCTTTTCCTACCTAACCAGTCGTGCTTTTTCTTTTTTTTTTCGGGTTTGCCTACGCAGCCAACCCATCACCACGTTGTAGTACCCTCAACTTCAACACCCGCAATTACAACATCATGGCAGAAGATCCCATAGACATATCTAATGGCACTTGCTATTATGCCGTCGATACAAAAGCTAGGGATGACTACATCCCTTGCGGCAATGTCGAGATCGGAGAGGATTGGCACTGCTGCGTCGCTGGCGATATCTGTCTAAAAGACAGTGCATGCTATCACAAGAAATGTAAGTAATATCATACGCAACGCTGCGATAAGCCCAAGACACTTTTTTAATGGCTAACAAGGATTCTCCCGTGGCCAGTTGATATCACCTACCTAGCGGGCTGCACGGACAAGCGATACGGTGCTCCTAGTTGCCCTTATAAGGGAAAGTACAGCAGCCAGCAGTGGACGGGACTACAGCGCTGCGACGGCAGCGACGACGACGCAAAGAATATATGGGCGGCTTGCAAAGAAAGCGGAGACGTCCCGGGCTCGAAGCCGCCTGCTCGTTGCCAATGCTCCAGCGATACCCAAGTCCTCTCTGACAAACCGAAGCTCGACAACGTCGCCCTTCTTCCTACGAGTCTGGGCGGGACTCTGTCGTGGTATGATGGTATGAAGCCGTCGATAACGGAGACTACTACGATATTCTTTCCATCTTCAACATCTTCCGGCTCAACGTTAAGCCCGACTTCCACGGGCTCGTCCGCAAACTCAACCACAGACTCATCTACAACATCCGACGGTCCATCTTCCACATCGTCTTCGAATTCGCCAGGCTACATTCCGCCGTTGAATACGGGAGCGGGGGGTGGTACTCCCGTCACGGTTTCTACCGACGTGCCCAACGCATCCACGAACACAGGCACCGGCCCGAGACTCTCCACCGCAGCACAAGCCGGCATCGGCGTCGGCGCTGGCGTTGGCGCCTTACTTATCGGATGCCTCGTATATCTGGCGTTCCTCCTGCGCACGCGCCGCAGAGCGAAGACCCACGGCTCCGAACTCATCGACCCCGCGTCCATGGCGCGACATGACCTCCCCAGCGCCGATAACCCGTCGAGCTCCCTCGCGTCGCCCTTCCTAGCTAGCAGCAACAGTCACGGCCACGGCCACGGCTATGGCCAGAGCGGCGACACCACCGCGGCGTTCCCAAATCACTACAAGTCGGAACTCGCGGCCGAGGAGCCGCGGAGCGCAGCCACGCATCTGGCGTACTCGCCGTCCGCGGCTTCGACCCCGTTCTCGCCCACCGCCGCGTCCTTCTCGTCCCAGCAGAAGCAATACACCGCGTACAACCCGCTGCTGCACGGGAACTACGCCGAGAAGAGCGAGGCCGGACAGAACCCGGTGTCGCCGATGAGTCCGGAGCTGCAGAGTGGTCCCGAAGGGGGAGAACCACGCGCGGCGTATATTCATGAAATGGAGGGTTGAGGAGAGTGGGGGGTTTAACCAGCTGGCAAAGGAGGAAAGGGAAAGGGAGAGAGGACTGGCCTTCATCTGGAGTTAGGGGTTAGTGACATGCTACCGTGGAAAAAGGTTTTTTAATTTTGCTTTTCAAAACTGCGTTTAATAAGCCGGCTTAGTTTTGAAGCCATGTACTTGTATTTAAAAGACGGTACAAGTTGTTTCGTCATCAAGGGAATGGCAGACGAATGATGTGATCGGTATGATACGAATTGATGATGATTGGCCGAGCGGAGTTCTAGTCGCTTTTTAGTTACATTATTTGGCTTAAGTGAATGAATGTATGAATAGTGCTTATGCTGCGTTAATAGAAATACCTAATCAAGTGCCGTCGTGCGTATATGCGTATACGCGTATAGTTAGTTGTCTTAGCCAAGCTTACCGTCTCACTTTGCTATTGACTTCCATTCCGTCTTTGTTATTACCTGGTAGTATTTATTACCTCTATATATCAGAAGGCTACATTACCATGATCTAGATATCCATATCCACGCCTAATATTGTTCCACCACAGTACCTAAATTCACGAGCGAGTTCGTCAATACTTCATATATGAATATATTGATCGTCTAGGCCTTAGTATATATGTCCGCAAGTGGGAGAGACTCAATTAAACTCGATTGGTTTATGCTTACGCTCCTATTCCTATGATAGTATATCTTGATCTTTTTTAAAGATTTTGGTTTGCTCATATAAGAGGTATAGTATATACTCGTGCCCTTCTCGTACTTAAGCACATAGATGTATATCTGTTTATGTATATCTGCCCCTAACTCATACAACAATGTTCGTTTTCGGGGCCATCATCTCACAGATCTGTAGATATAATATCGAGTTTGATTAAATATGACGGATAACGCGGAAGCACATTCTTCTCCACCCCATCAGCGGGAAGTGTTCTACGTTGGCGGCCAATACGTAACAGACGAAGCCGGACATCACACGTTACAAGGGCAAATGTACGTCGAGAGACTTATCCCAGTAGAATCAGACAAATATCCAAAAAGACCTTCCCCAATCGTATTTATCCACGGCGGAACAAGATCTGGCGCGGTAAGCTCGCCTCAACACCCTGCACTCTCTCCCACTATCACTCTCAATCACACACACCTACACGGATGCATACCGTATCCACTCGATGCCATGCTGACAGTCGGCTAGGACTGGCTCACAAAACCCGACGGCCAACCGGGCTGGGCCTCGTACTTCCTCTCCCGCGGCTTCGAGTGCTACCTCGTCGACCTGCCCTTCTGCGGCCGCAGCCCCTGGCACCCCGGCAACGGGACCATGATCGCGCTCTCGGCCGAGGGCATCCAGACCATGTTCACGGCGTGCAGGGACCTCGGCACGTGGCCCCAAGCCAAGCTGCACACGCAGTGGCCCGGCACGGGCAAGATCGGCGACGCGGTATTCGACCACTTCTTCGCCTCGACGCAGCAGATCCTGCCCGACTGGGCCGCGCAGGAAAGGGCCTCGCAGGCGGCCTGCGCCGCGCTGCTCGACCGCATCGGCCGGCCCGCCGTCCTCGTCGGCCACTCCGCCGGCGCCCCGACGCTCTGGCTCGCGGCGGACGCGCGCCCCGCGCTGGTCAGGACCGTCGTGGCTGTCGAGCCCGCGGGCGCGCCCTTCTTCAGGTTCGGCGTCGCGTCCGGGCCGGGGACCCCGTACGGCGTGTCCAACGCGCCGGTGACGTACGAGCCGCCCGTTGCGAATCCAGACGTCGATCTCGAGAGGGTGATTGCGCGGGCGCCCGGGCCGGATTTGGTGGATTGCATGCTGCAGAAAGAAAAAGGAGAAGGAGGAGAAGAGGGGGGAGGGGACGTCGGTCCCAGGCAGCTAGTCAACCTGACGCACTTGAGGGCGCTCGTCGTCACGGCGCAGGCGTCGTACCACGCGCAGTACGACTGGGCGATTGTGCGGTACTTGCGGCAGGCTGGGGTTCGGGGGGTGGAGCACCTGAGGTTGGGGGAGAGGGGGATATATGGGAACGGGCATATGATGTTTATGGAGAGGAATAGCGATGAGGTCGCTGCGGAGGTGGTGAGGTGGATTGAGGAGGAATAGACACCTGCGTAAAAGGGGTTAAAAAAAAAGGGGGGGGGGGGGGGGGGGGGGTTGGATAACAGACAAAGTGTCAATAGATATTTGAAATAAAACAAAAACCCCAAATTATGTACAAAGGGTAAATTTAAAATTTTATGCG